ATATGAGTTTCCATTGCTCCACATCATCTTCAACATTTGGTATCAGTAGACTTTTTAGTTTTAGTCAATATGGTGAGCATATTGTTGTTTTAGTTTGCATTTCTCCAGTTATTTATGAGGTTACATATATTTTCATGTGTGTATCAGTCACTTGTATTTCCTTTTATTGTGTGCCTAGTTACATCTTTTGTTCATTTTTTTTTTACTGGGTTCTTTCTTTCCTTCTTTCTTTCCTCCTTTCCTTTCCCTCCCCTCCCTTCCCCTCCCCTCCCCTCCCCTCTTCTCCCCTCCCCTCCCCTCCCCTCTTCTCCCCTCCCCTTCCCTCCCCTCTTCTCCCTCCCCTCTTCTCCCCTCCCCTTTCCTATTGATTTGTAGGAGTTTATTATACTGTGGGTATAATTCCTTTGGTGGTTATTTCTATTGTAACGTCTTCTCCCACTCTGGCTTATCCTTTCATTCTTTATAGTTTAATGAACTATATATTTTAGTATAATTAAAGTTACCAGTTTTTCCCCTTATGGATAGTACATTTTATGTTTTAAGACAACACTTCCTACCACAAAGTCATAAAGATATTTTGATTTTATGTTATACAACCTTTGTAGTTTTCCTCTCACGTGTGTTTTCATGTGTGTTTCTAATCTATTTTGGAATAAATTTTTATGTTGTGAGATAGGTGTCTAATTTCATTTTTTCCCCATACAGATATATAAATGGTGTCTCAGGACCTCCTATAGAAAAGTCTGTCCTTGCTGCATAAGTGTCCACATATGCCTGGGTCTGTTTGGGGGCTCTTGCATCAGTTTTGTATTACCTTCATTCCTACAACTTTAAAATATGTCTTGATACCTGGTAGAGAGTTTGCTTTTTTCTTTCCCCCCGCCCCCCCCAAGAATGCCTTATGTATCCTTGGCTCTTTATGTTTCCATATCAGTTTTACAATCAGCCTGTCAAGTTCTACAGATTTTGACTGGGATTAGATTGAATCTATAAATCAATTTGAGGAGAATTAATATCTTTACATATTACACTTCAAATCCATGATCATGATGTATACCTCCATTTATTTAGGTCTTCTTTAAAGTCTCTTAATAATGTGTTATAATTCTCCTTAAAGGGGCCTTTGCATAGTTTTTGTTAAATTCCAGCATACTTGACATTTTTTCTGCAGTTGTGCATGGTGTTTTATTTCATTTTTTAGCTTTATAATGTTGGTATGTGGATGTACAATTACTTTTTATGTGCTGGTATTGTATCTTGCCACCTTTCTTTTTATTGATTTTTGTAATTTATCCACAGATTCATTTTCTACATGTGTAACCACAGCATTTGCAGTAGCAGCTTTGCTTTTTCTTTTCCAATCTCTATACCTTTTAATTCTTTTTCTTATTTTACTACACCAGGATAAGTTTCATTAGAAGTGGTAGCATCAGGCATTCTTGTCTTGCTCTTATCTCAAAGAGACTGCTCTCATGTTATTTGCATAGGAGTTTTATAAGTACCCTTTACCAGATTTTGGAAGTATCCTTGTAGTCTTAATTTTTCTAAGGGGTTTTGTTTGCTTTTTAATCATAAATAAATGTTGAATTTTATCAAATACTTGTCCTGCTTCTTTTTAAATGGTCATATGGTTTTTTATTTTAATCTGTTAATGTAGCAAATTTCACAGATTAAATTTTTTAGTGTTAAAACCACCTTGCATTCCAGAGATAGACCAAACTTGCTATTTGCATCTTTGCTCATAAATGAGAGTGACTTATAATTTTCCTTTCTTGTATCATCCTTTCCAAGTTTTAGTATCAAGGTCATGCTATCATAAAATGAGTTAGAGAGTAAGTCTTTTTTTCCTACTTGCTGGTGCAAATTTTATATAATATTGGAATTATTTATTCCTTTAATATTTGCTAGAACTTGCTTGTGAGGCCATATGGGCCTGGGATTTTTTTTTTTTTGGGGGGGGAGATAATTTTTAATATAAGTAACAATTTTAGGACTACTCAAATATTGTTTTTCTTTGTGACCCAGGTTTGCCTGACTTATCTATATTTTTTAATCTTTTAGCATAAAATTGTTCATAATACCCTCTTTTGCATTTAGCATGTATAGAATCTATAGTTTTCTCTCTCTTTTCATTCCTACCATTGTTTATTTATGTTTTATCTCATTTTTCTTGAGCTTGCTAGAGGTTTACAAGTCTTTTCAAGGAATCAATTTTTGGCTTCAGTGCTCTATTGTATGTTTGTTTTCCGTGTCATCAGTTCTGTTCTTTTGGTTTTCCTTCTGTCTGTATTTTTAAGGTTTATTTTGCTATTCTTTCTGTAACTTTTTTGAGGTAGATGTTTATTAATTCATTAATTTTAGCCTTTATTATGATTTATCTTTTGACTCGGGTTATTTAGAATATTATTTCTTAATTTCTAAAAACATAAAGATTTTCTAGTTAACTTTTTGTCATTGCTTTCTATCTTGAACTGTGGCCAGAGAATTTCTGATTTCAGACCTTCAAATTTGATTGTGGCCCAGTGTATGATCACTTGTTATGAATGGTCCATGTGTGCTTCAGAAGAAATGTGTGTTCTATGGTTGTTGGGTGTAGGATTCTATAAACATTCATAGGCCATGTTTTTTTAATCCTGCAGTTCAAATCTTGTATATTTCATCGATTTTTGTTTTGCCTGTTTATTCTATCAGATACTGAGAGAATTGTCAAAATCTCCACTACTGTTTTGTCCTCCTGGTGAATTGAAATTTTTATCATTATAAAGTGAACATGTTTATCTCATATTTTTTGCTTTAGATTCTGTGTTGCTTAATATAGCTGTACTTTCTTTTGATCACTATTTTTGTGGTATTTATTTGCCCATCCTATTACTTTCAGTCTTAATGTATCCTTGTTTTATGTCTCTTATAACCAGCAAATTGTATTGTTTAAGTCCAGCCATATAATCTGTCTTTTAACTTAAGCATTTAGTCCATTTGCATACAATATAATTACTGATATATTTGAATTTATACCTTATTTTAGTCTTTCTGTTTTTTTTTTCTCTTTTTCCTCCCCTCCTCTTTTTAATCACCCCCTGCCCGCAACTAGTTTGGGAGCTATGCTCTCTGTTTCTGTTCTTTTAGTTGTCTCCCAAGAAATTATAATGGGGTCCTCAACTCATTATTATTGAAGTCTAACAGTAATCATTACCTTCTCTTTCCTTCTCGTATAAGTGCCTCGGGACCCTGTAACTCCATTTGTCCTCTCCTGACTCAAATGCTGCTATTGTCATGTGTTTTAGCTCTTTGTATATATATTTAAACCTCACATGACATTATTTGTTTTATGTAGTCAGTGTTTGTATAAATTTAGCCACATATTTATTACTCTACTTTTCTTAGCTTTTCCGTTTTTTCTTGCATCCCAGACCTCTCTGTGATCATCTTCCTTCTGCCAGAAGTACATCTGTTGGCATTTTCTTTACTGTGGATTGGCTGGAGGTGAACTCTCAGTTTTTGGTTGTACAATTACTTACCCCCCCCCGAAACACATTTTAACTGAATGTTGAATGCTTGGTTAATATTTTAGGTTAGCAGATATTTTCTTTAAGCACATGTAAGATATTCTAATGTGTTCCAGTTTCCATTATTGCTTTGAGAAGTCTCTCATCCTTGCAAGTAATCTGTGCTTTTTTCTTCTTATGGCTTTGAAATTTTCTGACTTTGCTTTTCTGCAGTTTTACTATGATGTGATTAGATGTAGACTTTTTATTCATCCTGCTTGGGATATGTTGGGTTTCTTAAATCTGGAGATCAGTGTCTTTCATTATTTCTGCAAATTTTTAACTGTTAGCTCATAATATTGCTTCTACCCCTATTCTCTCTTTACCTTCTGAGGCTGTGGTTAAATGTATGTTATACATTTTTTCATTTTATTCTTCGTGGTTCTTACAGTCTTGTTTGTATTTCCCACCGTCTTATTCTCTCTGCTACATTCTGAATGATATGCCTGTCATCCATTTCACTAATTTTCTCTTCCACTGTTACACCTGTCAACTGATGCCCCAAAATTCTGTGTTAGGTCTGCTTTGGTTCTTTTTCAAGTCCTAGTTGTGGTTGTGTTTTTGTTCTGAAACTTTTTGGGAGTCCAAACATGTATAAATTTTTACCCTAATAAGTTATTTGGGAAGTGAGCAAAGCTGCTGTGGTCTTTCTTTGGTGAACTACTCCTGTTTTCAAGATGTCACTATGTAGTTTTATCAGTTCTTAGGTGGTCCCCTTAAACTTTATTTAAGTGCTGCTGCTGTATACTCCATGATATGGAGTATTCCAGATACAGTGCCTCAAACTAATTTAACTGGTTAATTAGGGATATGAGACCTAAAGCAGAACTGTTAAGACTCAGTGCTCTCACCATGTCAGTGATGTTACCCAAATTTACTAATCACCTCTGCTGATGACAGTCATATTTTAAAGTTAAGTGGTGTTTTAGTCTGCTCAGGGAGGAGAGAAGGAGAGGAAGAGAGAAGAGAGGAGAGAGAGAGGGTATGTGAGCTCTGTGGTGTCTCTTCATATAGGGACACTAATCCTATTGGATTAAGGCTCCAATCCTTATGACCTCATTTAACCTTAATTACTTCCTTCTTAGAGGCCCTATCTACAAATACAGTCACACAGGAGTGTACAGCTTCAGCATGTGAATTTTGGAGGGATACAAACATTTAGTCCATAACAGGTAGTATTTACATAATGGTTTGAGGGTTTTATGGTTTATAATTATGTTACTTCTGCTGTCTCTACTGCTGCTAGTAGTGAATCACTTCCCACATATTCAACCCCACAATTATTCAGCAAGTATGTAAGGAAGAGAATTAAATTTATTCTTGCATGTGTTTCTGTACTTTACAAAGTTTATTGGTGAGGTTGTACATTTCTCAGCTAAATTCTAACCAATCTGTTATAGTTAAGTGAAAATCTTCACCTTATTTACACATTGGCTTTATTTTTCTTTATCTTAGCTGTGTTGGCGTAGAAGAACATCATGCTGTTGACATTGACCTATATCACTGTCCGAACTGTGCAGTTCTACATGGTTCCTCCTTGAGTAAGTACTAGAAGCTTAAATAAAAATTGAACTTTAGAACTTAATATGTACATGACAATACTTTAATGATACTCTGACTAGTTATATTATACCCACCAAGAACTATAAGGAAGATTTTTCTGAAGATGTTGAGAATACACTTTTTGTTTGAATTATTATTTAACAAGTCAAAACATTAAGTGAAAAAAATACTATCCTTCTTAATTGCCAGTGCAAAGCCCCCAAACTCAAATACATATTTTCAAAGCTTTCAATTTGCGAAGTGCAATAAAGTAAAATTTTTCTGATTCTGGCTGTTTTTATCTCTATAAATTAAAAAAACAAAAGAATGGTAACTAGACTTATCGTAGTGATCATTCTGAAGTGTATAGAAATATTGAATCAGTATGTTGTGTACTAGGAACTAACACAGTGTTGTTGGTCATTTATGTTTCAAAGACAAATAAACAGACTCATAGAAAAAGAGGTCAGATTTATGGTTACCAGAAGCAGGGATGGGGGAGAGGATTTGATGAAGATGGTCAAAAGCTACAAACTTCCAGTTATAAGATAAATAAGTACTAGGGATGTACAACATGATAAATATGATTAACACTGCTGTATGTTCTTTATGAAAGTTGTTAAGAAAGTGGCTCCTAAGAGTTCTCATCACAGGAAAAATTTTTTTTTTCCTAGTTCACCTATTGTATCTACACGAGATGATGGATGTTCACTAAACTTACTGTGGTCATCATTTCATGATGTGTGTCAGTCAGATCATTATGCTGTATAACTTAAACTTATTCAGGGCTGTATGTCAATTATATCTCAATAAAACTGGAAGAAGAAGAAAAAATCTTCCAGTACTATTTGCGACAGTGAACAGTATAGGATAAGACTTTAATGTACACACGTGCTTTATACTTTTAGGAGAAAATTAGGGCACCGATATGCTAAAGTACTACTCCTGTTGTCCGAATTAGGTCATGCTGTTGCGTATGGCCTAGAGTCCTGCCCAGCTATCCTCTGTGATGGAAGCAACTTCCCCACAGTCCCCGTCCCACGGAAGGCAGAGGCCAGACCAAGTCTTTGCCTGCACTCTTCTTGAGGCGTGAGGGCATGGGCAGGGAAGCTCACGTGTCCTCTGGAGTACACCAACAACACATACAAAACGATATTATTGTTAGCCTTTTACAGATGCTTTAGAGGAATAGATGGGAATATTAATTGTACAAATATGAGAGTAGAGAAGAGATTTTAAAGCCTTTGATTGTAACTATTTCTTTTCTTAAAAATTTAGACTGCATGCTAGCTTTTTTGTGTTCATAAAATTAAAGAGAAAAACTGTAGACTTAGTCATTTTAGAACTGAGCTTTTCCCGAACATACCTTGATACACGCTTGGGTCAGATGTAGGTAGCCTATACAACCTCTTTATTTTGAATGCAGCCTTTTTCCTAGTACTTTTTTAAAATAGAAATTTTGTTCTGAGGTTATGGGCAAGTGATTTTATCAAAAGAGACTTAGGAGCAACTGACTGCTTATCTGTTTTGTTAGAAATATTAATAATTTATCAGTTTCTTTCTAAGAGATTTAACAAATTAAGCTATATGAATGTATTAAAATATTTTTTTGTAAAATACAGATTATCCTTTTTGTTAGTTACGCAGTATAAAATTTGAGGTTAGCAAATTGGTAGAATTGTTACACGTGTAATTGACTAATTTGTTAATATAAATGTTTTTAAAGGTTCTTATTTTGTGTAGCACTGAAGTATGTAGTATATAACTTGAAGTAATTATTGAGCAAGTGTAATTCTTTGAGGAAATAAATAATACTGGGTTGTTATGTCAAGAAGGGAAACAGAACTAAAATGTAAGTTTCAATTTAGAGTTTAAGTAAATAACCCCAAAATGAAATAATTTAATTTCCATGAAATGTTAAAGGGGTTACTATGAATCAGAATAATGTAGTGTTTAAAACACTGTTGCAGGGACTTCCCTGGCGGTCCAGTGGTTAAGACTCCACCTTCCAACGCAGGGGGTGTGGGTTCGATCCTTGGTCGGGGAGCTAAGATCCCACATGCCTCACAACCAAAAAACAAAAGCATAAAACAGAAGCAATATTGTAACAAATTCAATAAAAACTTTAAAAGTGGTCCACGTAAAAAAAAAAAAACTAAAAAAAAAGAAAACACTACTAAATGTAATGCACTCTATTTTCTTTTTTCCTATATGATTTAATTTTTTTAAAAGCTTGTCATGCTCACTAAATTGATTTCACAACCCGTAATGGATCATGACCTGCACTTTGAATAACACACTTCAGAGGGAAGCTTGACTGTTACTTGCCCCTACATATGCTTCTCTTCCTTGAATAACATAAGATCAGGCATTGGCTGTCTTCTGGGCAAAAGTCCAACTCTAAGTACCCTTTAGGAAAATGCCCAAGATCCAGGAATCTGTTTTATCTTGATTTAAGGCTCCACTGCTCCTCACCCCTCACCCTCGCCCCTAATTTGGGTCATACCTTTTGGTCTTAAGCCTCTTCTGCTTGCCACCAACGATTTCCTGTTTCTTTGAGAGCTCCCCAGGAATCCTTACTACAGATACCATTGAGACAGTATAATATCCATAAATATGGTGAATTTAGACTTTACCTTCTTAATGGGAATTAAGAACTCTGTTCGAAGTCCAGTGTCAAAAAAACCAACCTGATACTTAAACACATATTCTCAGTGCTCCTCAGGCACATGCAATCTAAACTCAAAATTCTCTCTCCATTCCCTATGACCACTATTAAAATGTTCTTTCACTGGCCTCCTTCCTTTAAGAAATTCAGTCAGCTCTTGCAGCGACTGATTTTATGTGTTAAGGATGTTGGCCCAACAGGACAGTGTAGCCTTCTGTTAAAATCCTGCAAGTCAGCACATTTAAAAGAAAAGAAAAGTAATTGGCAGCATATTGGTTGCCCCAGGCACTATGCTAAGAAAGACTAGACCTATGTTATCTCCTTTGATATTTGTAACACCTTGATGTGAGAAAAATTATCTTACTAGGTCTTTCATGTAGCTATTTGGCAGAGCTGGAGTTTGAACCCATAGCTATCCAATCCCAAATCTGTTTGAATTCTAATCTATTCCGCCAAAATGAAAATTAAAACAGTGTAACATCATTGTTTATTTTCAAATAGGCAGTCTGTTCTTTCTCGCTCTTTTTCCCTCCCTCCCTCCCACTGTTGACCTGGGGCTTTTCAAATAGGCTGCTCATATATATTGGTAAGAATGTGAGTTACTTACCACTTTTCTGGAGGCAGGTTTGCAATATATAGCAAGAAACAGATTTATGTATATAAATATTAATTTCATCTTTATTTAAAGATGCATCTACATTTACATCTTAAAATTCTAGGCTGCCTTTAAATTGTTTTTGAATATTTAATAAGGAGAAAATGCCCATGATAAGAAAGGTAAGCAGGATAAACATTATGATCCCAGTTGAAAATAAAATGGGGTTATGTATCTATATATTTGTAGGAAAAAAAAAGCCTGGAATGAAATACCCTTGAATTTTAGAATTGATTTTAAGTGAGAAAAAAAAAATAGTAACACACAAAGGACACCTTAATGGTATTTTCTAGGAAGGTTGCTTAATGATTGTCAGTTTTTCCGTGACATTTTTATAAAACGGGATTTACTCTCTTCCATCTTGGGGGTCTGACTGCCATAAATTACTTGAGAATCTTGTTTCAGACTCTTAGATATGAATAAGCCTGATTTCCACCCCTATTGATTATTTAGTGTGACTTCTTATCCATATGAGGATCCAGCATTATTTTATTATTGTGATCTTTGTAAGGCGAAGGATTTGAAATAACTTAGACTCATAGAGTTGTGTCCTTCCCCCAAGGTTTTATTATGAAAATGTTCAAACATACAGGAAAAGTTGAAAGAATTTTACAGCGAGTACCTCTAAACCCACCATCTAGATTCCACTATTAACATTTTACATTACTTGCTTTATCTCATATCTGTCTGTGTAATGATCCCACTGTCTATCCACCTTATTTTTTGATTCATTCTAAGTAAGTTAGACATCAGTACATTTCCCAGAATCATGGAGGTTTTAGGCTTAAAAGTGATTTTCAAACTTAAAAGAAAAAAAACAGTAAAACTGAAATCTTACATTGATACCACACAAAAGACATGTAGGTGGTACCCCTCTGGGGGAAAGAGGAATGAGGTCCAGAGCTCCTACCTCAACCTCTTCTCCATCTTCCCTTTTATTAAGGGTTCCTCAACACAGTCTGAAAAACTGTACTCTTTCCCTTCATTTCCACATTGAGGAAACTGGACCCAGACACGTTAAAGAGATTTGCCCGAGGTTGCAGAGCAAGTTATGACTAAACTAGGAGTCAAAGCCAAGTATCCTGATTTTGGTTGCTGTGCTTATTCAAGATTGTAGCCTCCGGGGCTTCCCTGGTGGCGCAGTGGTTAAGAATCTGCCTGCCAGTGCGGGGGACACGGGTTCGAGCCCTGGTCCCGGAGGATCCCACATGCCGCGGAGCAGCTAGGCCAATGCGCCACAACTACTGAGCCTGCGCTCTAGAGCCCTCAAGCCACAACTACTGAAGCCTGCGCACCTAGAGCCCGTGCCCTGCAACAGGAGAAACCACCGCAATGAGAAGTCTGCACACCGCAACGAAGAGTGGCCCCCGCTCGCTGCAGCTAGAGAAAGCCCACACACAGCAACAAAGACCCAATGCAGCCAAAAATAAATAAATGAAAAATAAATTTAAAAAAAAGAAAAAGATTGTAGCCTCCCAGAGCTGTAGAATCACGGGATCTGAGTGTTAGATCTGACCAGAAGTTATTTATTCTGTCATGTTACTTGTCCTCCTTTCGTTATGATGCAGTCATCTGCTATCCTTTGTGTCAGTGTAACCATGCTTATTTTGGGAATAAATCTTGACATAACAGAGAAAGGAACTGTGCTGTTAAAATAGATTTCCGATGTGGGATCAAAGGCCCTGTCCTGAGGGGATGATGTGGCTGATCCATAAAAATCATATTATGACCTAATGTTCTAGTGAAAATCATGGTTTTAAATAATTATGAGATTTTATATGTGTGAATGTGGATATTATAAAAGGCTCAATCTGCTAATTTGAATTTGTTGATTTAATTTAAAAATCATTTTTGAAATAAAAAGAATTTTTAAAACCCACAGTTAATTGCCTATAATTGCAGCATTAAATTTTACTTCTTCAGCCTTAGAAATGTATTAAAAAATGTGAGTATTATTGTACTTGACAATTGTTGTTTCTGATTATATAGACTATAATTGATTATAGGAAGTACATAGTACCACCAGTTACAAAAATGCTTTCTTTTTTTAATCTTCTAAAAATCCAGTGAAAAAGAGGAGGAACTGGCACAGGCACGACTACACAGAAATTGATGATGGTTCCAAACCAGTGCAGGCTGGAACTAGAACTTTTGTGAAGGAATTACGTTCTCGAGTCTTCCCAAGGTAGGAAACCTGTTATGACCAAAGAACATTTAAGAATGTTACCCAATAAGGTGATATTATCTAAAGTAGCGTTTTCAAACTTCAGGTTGCAAGCCAGTATTATTCTTAATCAGTTTTTTACTTTTTGAAAATAAAACAGAATAGAAAATATTGGTACATTGCAAGTAATAGGAGTAAATAAGCAGTTTCATGGAAGCTTTGTTATGTGCATGTGTACTGGATTACTGGGTAAAAATGTATTTTAACTGTAGGTCTCAGTCCAAAAAGTTTGAAAGACACTGATCTAAGGCACTTATTCCCGTGCTTCGTTCCTTATGTTGTGCAGCTGCTGCTTCTCTTTCTCCTTCACCTCTCTTACACCTGTTTTCGTACTCTGCTTTTCTTCTTATGTTATTTTCCTATCTGCCTCCACCCTACGTCTGCCAGAAGTCCCCACAACCATTGCTTAGCCTCTGGTGGCAACAGGACTAGGCTTTTTTATTTTTTTTAAAGATAATGGAAAGTATTTGAGTTATCTGTGGCTCAAAGAACAAATGTCAGAAGCATTATACAGCATTTAACCATGCTAATTTAGATCATTTCCTACTCACTGCCTGACATCTATTTAAAGTGATAATGCTTAATAGGCTTTTTACACGAGATCATATCCAGGCTTGTTAAAAAGGGGAAGCACAATTTACAGTTCAATCACAATATCACCTGCAGCCTATTATGGAATTATTTCAGATCATGTAACTATAAAACCCTTCCTATTTTGTCATAGTCTTTAGGATACCTGGCCGTTCCCCTCCCTTAAACAGAAACATAAATGATAAGCAGCTACTGTTGGCTCCCTCACGTACTGGGAGAAAAGAAAAAAAATGAAACACAGTGATCACCACGTGATTTTTGTGATATTAAAGGCCTTATTCTCAGATATTCTCCTTTATGAGTTTCAAAGTCATTGGAGAAATGTCTGTTTATTTTCATTGATTGATTTGGAGCCCAGGGCCAGAGTTTTCAGCCAGGCTCTATGGGCTGGCTTCAGAGAGGCTTGTGAGTTTCCTAAAATTGTATAAACAGTTGACATGTTGACATGTGAACGTGAATTTTTCAGGGAGAGGAGCCTTAGCTTTCGTTTTTTAAAATAGGCTTGTAACCCAAAAGTGTAGTGTTAAAAGTCCTGGCCCAGTGATTCCCGTGGCTTCTCGGCCGAAGTATTCAACACAGATGTGAGCAGGTTCCAGAGGCGGTCACAAGTGTCCACACTGTACTCACCACTAGTTAAGGGTCTTTGGTTTTATTTAATGTAACTCCATAAACCTCCACATCATTTAAAACCGCGGCAGGGTGACAATAATTAACTAAATTATACATACTTCATGTCATTAAGATAGAAGTGTATAAAATAAAGCGAACTCCAGCTATCTACCCCGAGCCCCCCACTTTAAGACAAAGTCTTTTGAGACCCTTTTTTACATGAATGATAACTTTTAAAACAATTATGTGTATAGGTGTATGGATGTATATATACGTCTAATTTTAAAAAATAAAATGGGGTTACATTATGCATATGTTGTGCAACTTGCTTTTTTTACTGTTATGTTTAATAGATATCTTTCTGTGTGTATACACAAATTTACCTCACTCCTTAACTGCTGTGTAGTATGCAGTTGTGTGTGTGTGTGTTGTGTGTATGTATATATATCCCGTAATTTACTTAACCGTCCCACTATGGTGTATGTTTAGTTTGTGTCCAGTTTTTTCCTCTTGTAAGTAATGATGTGCCTGTATTTTTAAGCACTTGTATCTACATATTTTTGATCAATGGGGGGAGGTAAAGCACCAGACATTTAAGATGGAGGAGTACAAGTGATTTAAGATTCTCCCTTAGGTTGGAGTTTAAGGAATTGTTAAATTCTCAGAGGTTGGGGAAGAAGGAACACTTGTGGATGCTTATGGGGAAAATAGAAGGCAGTACAGAACTCAGTGAGTCAGGTGAAGGAGCTCTGAGCCCTCCACTTACAAGACTATCCAAGAAAAGTCTGTTTTGATCTTTTTAGGCCTTAAACTGACCTTCTGTTATTGAGAAGGTGGGAAGATCTGAGCTCAGTAATTCAGAGACCCAGTTTCTCCTGTCTTCTCCTTGACACCTAGGCTACAGATGACATCAAGACTGTTAAGATCTGACTGTATAAATGGAAACTGTTGTGCTTAACCTATGATGCAAGTGTTGCACTTAACTTTGAATGTATAGCAGCTGCATTCTGTGAGCAACTGGAAGATAAAATCTAGAATATCCCCATTTAAAGAGATCTTTGATTTGTGGTTAGATAGGGGATAGTGAAAAGGGACAAACCACACTTAAGTGTAATGCCTAGAATGTGTTAATCATCAAAGAGGGCAGCTGGAGGTTCAGCAACCCTTTTTAGTGGCTTAAGGTGACTGCGTGTTAAAATTTATTAAATACTGGTGATAGCAGATCTCTGAAACCAGGAGTTCTCAGTTGGGGCATTTGGACATTGTCTCAAAGAGTAGGGACCACAGACGCTAGTCATCCCCCAGTGTGCAGGACAACGTGAATTGTTCTGTGTCCGGTGAGACTTTGCAATGCCTAACAAATATTTGTGTAGACTTTTATAGCCAGATAAAATCTGGTCTGTTTTTACTTATCCTAACCAGCTTTTATTCTACTGTACCCCCTCCCTTTTGCTCTTCTGGTTTTCTATGCAGCTTGCGTTGAGTGGCTTCTGATCTTGTTACTTTTAAATCCACCCACTCGTTACAATCGATTGTAAGCATCCTATTATTCTGTTATATTTTCTAGTGTTGTTTACCTGAACATTTACACGTTGAAATACGTATTTTGCTGGAAACTAATTTGTTTTTTCTCTTGTTATAGTTAAGGCATTTTATATAATACATATATATTTTTCCAATTATATGTAGATTGAAGTAATTATCTATGACTTTTACTTTAGAATACTAAAAGGGGCTTTATAAAACATTTGTTATAAAAAGGAGAATTAGGTATGATAGGTTGAGAACCACTGATGTAGATAATAATATAGTATATGAATTAACCCATTACCAGATTATCTTTCTTAACTGAACTTACCAACAGAGATGACATGTTACTCTTATGCTTTCCTTAGTGCCGATGAAATCATTGTAAAGATGCATGGCAGCCAGCTGACACAAAGATACCTGGAGAAACATGGATTTGAAGTCCCTATTATGGTCCCCAAATTAGATGATCTAGGACTCAGGCTCCCTCCACCTACTTTTTCTGTTATGGACGTGGAACGTTATGTAGGTACGAACTTGATTCCTTTAATTACTTGGGAAAACATGGTAAAAGTGAAATTGGTATTATCCTAAAAATACTAAAAGTTGAATGAAGAGATGTTACTTTAGTTCCGTTTCTGGGTCAGGAAAAGTGAAATTCAGTATTACCTATGTTGAAAACTATTTTTTTCTCAGCAGACTTACGTTCAGAAAGACAGAAAAAAACATTTTGCATATTTTTATTTACTCCGCCTCATCCTACTGCTTTTGTTGTTGTTGTTGTCATCAAATTTACTGATACGGGCTTCCCTGGTGGCGCAATGGTTGAGAGTCCGCCTGCCGATGCAGGGGACACGGGTTCGCGCCCTGGTCCGGGAAGATCCCACATGCCACGGAGCAGCTAAGCCCTTGAGCCACGGCCGCTGAGCCTGCGCGTCCGGAGCCTGTGCTCCGCAACGGGAGAGGCCACAACAGTGAGAGGCCCGCGTAACGCAAAAAAAAAAAAAAAATTTCCTGATACTTGCTTAGGAACAGTTATTATGGAGGGGTAGCTGCAGACTGAGGAAGAAGGCTTTGGGAAATCGGGGTGGTTCTAGGCCTCTGTAGCAGCATCCCGGTACAAGATCTCTGCATCCTGCTTTAGTGACCTCCTGCTGCCTAGAGAAAGGCTGTGAAAAAGAGGAGCTCACTTTCAAACCTGTTTTTATATTAATGACTTGGTGATACTGCCGTTTAACGATGCCTGGACCTAATTTTTTATATTGAGGCCCGGAAAGGTATAAGAAACAAGGTGGAAGACCCTTCACCTGTTGCAATATTGTTGACATTTTCAGTCACTTTTTTCATTCGCATCAGGGTATTTAGAGATAAAGCTGACTCTATGTAGGTCTCATTCCTTGTCAACAAAACAGAGATTATTTGAGGATTAGATCTCAAATCTATCTTGACTCAAACTGTCTGTTCTTTAGAGTATGTTATCTCCTGAGCGTGAAGTATCTGAGAACTTGTCCCTTTATTGATCCATTGGTTGACATTGATAATTGTTTCACTGAGGAAGTCCAATTAAATTGTCTGACTTCACATTCAGCTAGTTTTGAATTATTTGATAAATTAGAGGATGAGGCTGTGGTTTCACCTAAACCTGTTTACATAGATAGCACTGTAAAGTAAATGGCTAGTGTAATATAAGTGTAGGAAAAACGTTCATACTACTTGGTAGCTAACTTTTTAGTACTGCAGAATGCTTCAGTTAACAGAATTGTTTTGCCTCGTAAGTATAAAATAGTCTATTTAGCAATACTTTCTTAACTTATATAAAGTTACATTAAAGTAAGAAAATGTCACTTGTTTCCTATTTCAGATTAAGTATTGCCATATTTTGAATTTCACCTTATCCTACAGGACATTGTAAAACTAATTATGCTTTTTAGGGTGATGCAGTGTTGAGCAAGCAATACCTCATGATTTTATAGGAAAATTGTAAATTAATCCCAATTCAGAACTCATTTCACAGGCCCTAATATGAACTGGTTTTTGCTTCCTAACCACTCATTTTTTTCTTGAAGCAGAATATTAGAAGAGAAGACACTACCAGGCAAGCAGAAATTGTTTGTCCTGGTTAATTTGTTCACTAATTCCCCAATGACCGATTGGTTTCCCAAAATGATGGACTCAGAATCTTAGGTGTTAAAGAAGTGAAAGGGAAAAGTCAGTCCCCTTATTTTATGCATGAGGAATGCGGCACAGTTGTTAACCTACCAACGTAATATGCATTTTTGTCGTGAGCTGCACAAGAAATCATTGGTGTGTAGAAAGCTTTGTAAACATATAACTTTTTACACTCAGTGTTAATTATGCAGCTCTGTCTTAATTGCTTTATTCTTTCTTTCAAAAGTCATCCCTTTGTTCAAAAGTTCCAGTTGGACTTAAAAAGTATCGGAAGAATCTTTGTCTAGGCTATATAGTTTTTATCGATGGCTTAATTATCATACAAGTAAATATAGTCTTTAAAATATTTTTGTGTAGGGCGTCTATTGATGAAATTCTTAAGCGCAATAATAAGACTATAATTTTTCTCTGCAGGTGGTGACAAAGTGATAGATGTCATTGATGTGGCAAGGCAGGCAGACAGCAAAATGACACTTCACAATTACGTTAAATACTTCATGAATCCTAACAGACCAAAAGTGTTAAATGTGATCAGCCTTGAATTTTCAGATACAAAGTGAGTAGTTCTGGACGTTTTGGTTTAGCCTTCTGAGCGTTAGCTAAAATGTAGTTAAATGATGAATTTCTTTTAGTAAAAGACGTCATTGTGACTTCTAAAGTGGTCCAGTGATATAGCTATGTTGTAAATTTTGCTTTGGTACCCTCAAACTTTAAGTATTGCTGTTAGCTGTGAGTTCCAGTTAATTTCTTGGTTTGGGTTGAGATGGGAGATGAAATTTTAAGAAGTTTTAATTTGCATGATGTGGGTGTGTGTGTATGTGTGTGTTTGTTTTTTTAAAGGATGTCTGAATTGGTGGAGGTTCCTGATATAGCCAGAAAACTTTCCTGGGTGGAAAATTATTGGCCTGATGATTCAGTCTTTCCCAAGCCATTTGTTCAGAAATACTGCTTAATGGGAGTTCAAGACAGCTACACAGATTTCCACATTGACTTTGGTGGGACTTCAGTTTGGTACCATGTCCTCTGGGTAAGCCTGGGGTATTTCTTTGTTCACTTAATCACAAAAACGTACAGTCTTATTTTTCCACGGGTGTATTCATTTGCTGTAAATGACATTTGTAAAGAGGGAAGTGTTTTGTACTTTTTCAGTGGGAGCTGTCATTTTAAATACTTACAGAAGCATTATGATTTTCTTTTTTTAATCGCAAGTAATGGAGGAGCCATGAATTCTTAATTTATATAGATTCCCTTTTTTTGCCCCCATCTTATAAATTAATCTCTTTTAGCCTTTTGTCTCTTTTTGTTTCTTCTTCCCCCTAGTCAGTTACCAGTTAATCCCTGAATCTAATACCTGAGAAGGAGCAAAATTATAGTAATAATTGCTTCTGACCTTAAGGTGAGGCTAAAGACAGCTAGTTGGATAAGTCAGGAATGCCCATAAAAATACGAATTCTCCTCAGGCGCTTATATTCACCTTGCTTTATCTGGAACTGTGCTATTCCGTACAGTAGCCACTCGGCACATGTGGCTACATTTAAATAATCAACTATAATTTAAAATTCAGTTCCGCATTTGCACTAACCCCATTTCAGGTGCTCAGTAGCCACATAGGGCTCATAACTGCTATATTGGGTAGCACAGATGTAGAGCATTTCCATCGCCACAGAAGGTTCTTTCGGGCAGTGCTGATCTAGAGCCAAATCTTCGTCAGTATCACATGCCTGTGCATCAGCAATGCTCTGGACTGTGTTTGATGCTGTGCCCTTGAGCTCCTCTTCCTTTCCTCCGTGAGAAAGCAAAGGGTTAGTTCATTCAAGAAAGTTTATTCACAGATCTTTAAAAATAATTGTATTATTATATGTCTTAGGAGAAAGGGCGAAGTTTGCAGAGATGACTCTCTGTAACCTGGGGCCTATTAACATGTATTTACTTCTCTGCCTTGAAAATGAGATCAGTAGGATGTTTGTGATTCTTTACCCTCCTCTCTTGTAACTATTTCTCCATCCCTGCTTTATTGACCCCTTGTCGTATTTGAGACGGGAGCCTTAGCTCCTTTGAAGATGCTTATTAAGGGCAATAGCTATTGATCAGGTATGTGAAATATGTCTTTTTGAGCCTTAAAAAAATCTGATAATTATCTAATTTAATTTAGAACATTGTATTGGGAAATTACATCAATATAGGCCATCCTAGAATGGCATTTCCTTTTTCAAAAATAGTGTGATTACTTCCTCCTAGGGCGAGAAGGTTTTTTATTTGATAAAGCCAACAGATGACAATTTGGCACTCTATGAATCTTGGAGTTCATCTGTGACCCAGAGTGAAGTGTTCTTTGGAGATAAGGTGGATAAATGCTACAAATGTGTGGTAAAGCAGGGACATACCTTATTTGTTCCTACAGGTAAGGTTTTAATCCCATCCCGCTCCCCATAGTGGATACTCATCACATGGAGTCAGCTTTTGATTGAAATCTCTGACTTTAATGTGTTTGGAAAGTAGTTTTGCATAGCCCGAGAGATGATTCTGATCTTGGACTTTTCACTTCTTTGTGCCTTAGAGGGCTTCTCTTGTAGTCAGGACTTGTTTTGGCATTGTGTTTTATGTCATTTGCCTTCACCTTTATTTTTATTTAGAAAAATTCATCTACCGTAATCCTCACCCTTTTAAAGTGTACAATTCAATGGTTTTTAGTAGATTAACAGGGCTGTGCAACCCTACCCCTATCTAATTCCAGAACATTTCATCACTTCAAAAAGAAACCCCATGCCAATTAGCAGTCACTCCACATTTCCCCCCCTCTGAGCCCCTAGCAACCACTAGTGTGCTTTCAGTCTCTGCGGATCTGCCTATTTGGGGCATTTCATATATAATACGTGGCCTTTTGTATCTAGCTTCTTTGAGTTAGCATCATGTTTACTAGGCTCATCCATGTTGTAGCCCTTGTCAGTGTTTCATTGCCTTTTATGGCCAAATAATATTCCATTGCATGGATGTACCACATTTCATTTATCCCTTCATCAGTTGATGGACATTTGGGTTGTTCCCACTTTTTGGCTCTTAACGAATAGCGCTGCTTTGAACATTTGTGTGAAAGTTTTTGTGTGCAGGTTTGTTTTCATTTCCCTTGGTTATATATACCTAGTAGTGGAATTGCTGGGTCATATGGTTTAATGATGTTTAACTTTTTGAGGAACTGCCAAACTGTTTTCCTAGTGGCTGCACCATTTTACATTCCCACCAACAATGTACAGGTGTTCCAATTTCTCTACATCCTCACCAACACTGTAGTTATCTTTTTTTATTTTTGTCATTCTAGTGGGTGTGAAGTACTTGTATCTCATTGTGGTTTTAATTTGCATTTCCTTAATGAGTAATGATGCTGAGCATTTCTCTTATTGGCCATTTGTATATCTTCTTTGGAGAAATGTCTATTTAAATGCTTTGCCCATTTTTATGTTGGGTTGTCTTTTTATTGTTGAGCTGTAAGCATTCTTTATATATTCTGTACACTAGACCCTTATCAGATATATGATTTGCAATATTTTCTCCCATTCTGTGGGTTGTCTTTTCATTTTCTTGATAATGTCCTTTGCATAAAATTTTGATGAAATTCCCTTTAATTTTAACTGGTCAGCTCTACATTGATGTCAAAGGCCCAAGCCTGCTGTAAGAATCTGGGCAGCTGTCCTGGGGCAGTTAGGAGGCAATGAGTCTGTTTTGAGGGACCCTAGGAAGGGATTGAGTACCAGCCTTAGCTATAGCCTCAAGTATAGGTATCAGGTCTGTCATTTTGAGACGTGACTAAATGCAGAGTATGGACTCTCCAGGTCAGTGGTTTTGAGAATTGTGTTCTTCTGATTTGGGTGACCTTAATGGCTACACAGCTTGCAAGGATCTGTTACAGGCCCTGCTTTCTTACCTTGCCTCTGGAGTATATAATAAGAAGTAGGTGTTGAGCAAATGAATGAATCAATGCCTAGAACTACCAGAATTCATAAATCTAGATACGTATCAATATTTTCACTGTGAATGGGCTAAGCTCCTCCCTTAAAGCCCCTCCCTTAAAGCCCCCCAGAGCTCCCTCTTATAACAGATATTTTGTTATGCCCACTTCAAAAATCTTGAATTCACACTTATCATTAATATAACCTCCTGCACCAGTAATTCCCCCCCCCATTGATGTAATGACCTAATTAGAATATAAAGAAGAAATTAAAAGTAATTTATAAGAACCCACCCTTGTGCAATGTCCCCGCTCAGGCACAGCAGCATTACAGGTCAGGATGATGCACAGGCCAGCTAACCAGTACAGGTGTGTAATTGGTAGTTCAAAGTCTGTAGCTCTGGTGTGGATTAATGGTTCGCAAACTTCATTGACCATCAGAGTCACCTGGAGGGCTTATTAAAACGCAGAGTGCTGGGCCTTAACCCCAGCGGTTCTGATTCAGTAGCTCTGGGGTGGGCCTGAGAATTTGCATTTCTGACAAGTTCCCGGCTGAGGCTGGTGCTGCTGGTCTGGGGACCACACTTGAAGAACTGCTGCCGTAGATAGTGTGATTTTTTTTTTTTCCCCCCAAGGTAGTTGGCAACTGATACACTTCCTTCAGTTTACAGGCTACCTAGTTGTATTCCTGGAAAATTGTGCCCAAACCATGCAAAAGATCCTTGTTTCATATGAATGGAGTTATAGTTTCTGGGCTCAGGCAGTTAATAACAGATTTTGCACCTGTCTGAATGCCCAGCAGAAATTTGAAAGTCCTGACTAATGGAGGACAGTTTCTTACTGTGTGGAACTGTCCTGCATGTTGCATCCCTGGCTCCCGCTCGCAAAATGACAGTAGTGCCTCCTGATCACTGTGACAAAAAAAAGCCCACCAAACTGTCTAGATCACACTCTACAGGTGGTACCGCCTCCATGGAGGACCACTGATCTACAGAATTTGAAGCCAGCAGAGACTTCAAATTTGTGATTTCAGGGTCAAGCTCAAGGCTTTGTGCCTTTGAGCACACACATGGTCACCACTTGAAAGCCAGTCTTGGGGGGAGTTTTTTGATATTGTGTTACAGCACAATGAGGGATCAGAATATGAAAAGTATAAGGAAAATGGGATCTGTCTATTTTAACAGTCAACTTTTACATGCAGACGTATGTGTGTATATTGATTTATGTTTATATGAAGTCTTTATGTTCAGTCTACGGACCTTTCTTTCAAAAGTTTAGCATCATCTCAGAAATGAGCCTCGCTTTGAAAACATTTTTATGGGAAAACATTTTGACTTTGTGGGAAAATATCATTTTGATTGCCAGCATTTATATTTATAGGACCATAATCCTGCCTAATGAAATGCGGGTGATCTACTTTTTCTTTCTTAGAGGAAGGTCCCAGGTTGAGTTCCATTGATCCTCCTCTGCTTGGTCCCTAAGGACACTTGTTTCAGGATGACACTAGGGAGGCAAAGCGCCCAGCCAGTCCCGTTGTTCATTTAATGAAAACGCGCTTGCCTCACTCTAACCAGATTTGACTTGTCTCAGAGTAAAATCTTTAATATAAAGTAGATTGTGTTTTTAAGCTAAAAAACTAAACAGCAACAACCACAAAAACCTTCACCTATCCTGCACCGTAATTTTGTCTAATTCGGTCAATCCATTTATCTTAAACACAGCACAGAGGCTGGCATATAATAGGCATTTAATACATATTTGAATCATTGAACCTCTAGATGGTAATAGACATTAGCTTCTCTAGCACTGAAGTATGAGGTAAACTGATTTTGATATTTTGTGTTTCTTAAAATAGGTATATATCACATTTGTGTGGTTTGAATATTGAAAAATCACTGATTTATATACTTTTAACCATTTCAGGGTGGATTCATGCTGTGCTCACTTCTCAGGACTGTATGGCTTTTGGGGGGAACTTTCTGCACAACCTTAACATTGGCATGCAGCTCAGGTTTGTGTCATCAGTATTTAAAGGATCTTTTGTCCTTTCTTAAATAGGACTTAGTTCTAAAAGTAAAAAAAAAAAAAAAAAAAAAAATTCAGCAACATACTTAATTGAGATCTCATGGAGATAGGCCCTGAGAAATTATTAGGAACTTTTAACAAAAGTATTGTCTTAAGATTTTGACAGGAGAACACCTTGATGCTTTGCTAATCTAAAACAAAAAGAATAATTTATTCCATTTGAGATTAGATATCTCCCCAAATTTCAAAATTTTGTAGAAATGGATAGGCTGTCCTTTGGCTATTTTTACAGTGAGGGAATTGAACTAAAACCAGTCAGACTCAGGTGTGACATATGCTGCTGGGGCAGAGCAACCCTAAGTTAGGATCGTTGTCAAAACACCTGCTTTAACTTTGCTGTGGTAAAGGATTAACAGCTATTTCCCCTTCTGCATGAGAATTTGACCTTTGGGTAATAACTTCCCCTGGTAGCCTAATGAGAGAAGAATGTTCCAAGGCAACATTGCTTATGGTAAAATGATTCCCGATTGATAAACCGCATCAGTACTGGCAGAACTAGGAATACCTAGTAGGAAGCCATGTCTTTGGGCTTTCCTGAGTGTGACTGTTATAACTTGGCCTGCCCCTGGGGAGCCCCGGAAGCCATGCATCTGTGGAGTTATTACAAGAGATTCTGGCTCTTATGGGAGGTATGAAGCTTTAAGCTAGGGCAGCTCCCACACTTGCCAAGTACGAATCTTGTTTCTTTATACCTGAGCTGTCCCTGGGGAAAGACGGCTCCTGGCTGTGTGGACTGCTGCAAGGACTCCCACGGAAGACTCACCCTGTGGCGAGCTGTGGTTTCTCACAGGTCTTCTCACCTTGACCCTTGCCAAGTGTGGTCCTGAGCTTGAATGCTTAGTAGAGCCTAAAGAAAATGCCATGAGAGGGTGTTGCAGGGCTGTCCAACACAGGCAGCTGGTTTCTAAACACATCGTTCTGTTTATTATAGTGGAACCCTTGTAAAATTCCTTCTGTTAAAACTAGGCTACAGATCCCAAGGGGTGATCTTTTTGAAGCCCACTGTAAATTCTTCAGCATCCTGTCAAACCTGTTAAGGGCGGACCTGAGTAAGATCACAGCTCAGTCTTACCCACGTGTGGTGGTGTTGAGCGATGTGCACTACTCGATTGGTCTTATACGTCGTGGGCTGCTTATTTTAGTTAAGTTGATTGTCTCCATTTAACTTTGAAATGCTAGTATTAATATTAAATTTCTTCAACTCTTATTTATTTAGGTGTTATGAGATGGAAAAAAGGCTAAAAACACCAGATCTTTTCAAATTCCCTTTCTTTGAAGCCATATGTTGGTTTGTAGCCAAAAACTTGCTGGAGACCCTAAAAGGTAATAAATAATCTGTACATTTTGTTGTTTCATATGATGCATGATACTTCTAAATTCACTAAAAGCCACTCATAGAAAGAGAGGCCCCTTGTAAAATGTGGTGTGGCTATTGTCCCTATTTTGTTTTTCGTTTTTTTTTTTTTGGTGGTACGTGGGCCTCTCCCTGTTGTGGAGCACAGGCTCCGGACGCGCAGGCTCAGCAGCCATGGCTCACGGGCCCAGCCGCTCCGCGGCATGTGGGATCTTCCCGGACCAGGGCACGAACCCGTGCCCCCCGCATCGGCAGGCGGACTCTCAACCACCGCACCACCAGGGAAGCCCCCTATTTTGTTTTTTAAATGCATGATTTTCCTCTGTTCAGAACCTTTTTAGCAAATTAGAAAATCTCTAGTCGATAGGCATAAAAATCAGATATATGAAGAGCTGCATCAGAACCACATAGGTAATATTGAAAAATTTTCCTTTCTCTGGGACTTTAGTCATCTGCACACAGTATCAGGCACGTAAAAGTGCCTCACTAACAAAATGCAGCTGAAGCCAAGGGACTGTTACCTAGTATGTGTTCCCAAACATTTGCTTTTAAAAAATCGAGGGAATAATTTTCATGTCCTGAGTGAATCAGGTGGTGTCTGTGCCATTACCATTATGACCATTATGTGGCCAGTATAAGGCACCTGTTAGCACAAACCAGCTAGTGTCAGGCTATGCATCTATAGTTGAAGAAAAATGGTTCTTTTCAAGGGAGGTGGGAAATATATCCCTTTAAACTTGAAAGGTACCACCTCTTTTATGTGGAATTTCAGATTTTGATGTTTTATTACTGGTTTAATAATCTTTGAGCAGTCAAGTTGGAGACTCACTGTAACTTCCACTTTTATCTATTTTTTGCTTTTTGTGCACTTATGCCCGTGAAAATACAGTCCATCTGGTTTTTGTGTTGTCTAACTTTCCTAGTCAGTTTGCCAGTAGTGCTACTATATTTCTAAAAATTATTTAATTAATTTATTTATTGGCTGCGTTGGGTCTCGTTGCTGCACGCGGGCTTTCTCTGGTTGCGGCAAGTGAGGGCTACTCTTTGTTGCAGTGCGCGGGCTCTCATTGCGGTGGCTTCTCTTGTTGTGGAGCACGGGCTCTAGGCGCGGGGGCTTCAGTAGTTGTGGCATGCGGGCTCAGTAGTTGTGGCTCGTGGGCTCTAGAGCACGGGCTCAGTAGTTGTGGCACACGGGCTTAGTTGTTCCGCGGCATGTGGGATCTTCCCGGACCAGGGCTCGAACCCGTGTCTCCTGCACTGGCAGGCGGATTCTTAACCACTGCACCACCAGGGAAGTCCCAGTGCTACTATTATAATTAACTCCCAGAAGAAGAGATATAAACAGATTAAACAATAAAGTCTAGTCTAAACATTTGGGGGTCTTCCCCATTTAAATGTTACACAAGAAGAAAAGGTAAAAGGAAAAAAAACTACCAATAACTTATTTCCCAGGATGGCATGCACGGAATTAAATGATAAAAATCATTTATGGTTTCTTTCCTTAAAAGGGGGGCTGGGGAAAGCTCACTTTCTTTGGAAGGAAAGAGCAGTAGAACCCCGTCTCACACCTTGTAGCACTGTGTAGAGGTAGGTGTCTTGACAGTGGTGCAGCTGTACAGGATGGAGGTGGGATCCCGTGGATGGGGAGGAATAGTGCTCTTGGGTATTTTTCTTGGCTGCAGGGATGTCACAGTAGATCCATAGAGTTGCAATATATGATTTTCAGTAAAATACTGGACAGTAAATTTCATAGTCTCCTATTCAAGTAGAAGCCTGGGAAAATAGGAACACTTATAAAAACACTTACAAATGTCCTTATTTTCTGGAAATAAAACCCAATTACTGAACTCTCCAGGTAAGAGCTTGGCAATTCAATATTCAGAAAATTCAGAGCACTTTTTCCATCTTTCTCTTCTCACTAACACATACACGTACACACACACACACACACACACACTGACATACATACACACCTGGGGTAATGCTTTTTCCTTAATGTCTAAGAGGGGCTCATCAGTCGACTTTTTAGAACAAATTAAAAATTTATCTAAAAGACAAACTCTTGCTGTTCCCCTTGCAGCCACAAGCAGCAAATTGTTCAGTCTTAAAATAACGATTTAACCTTTGTTTTAGACCATTGAGAGTTCAGAAATATTGAGGTCTCACTGAAAACATGAACCTATACATTAAAAACCTAAAAAAAACCTCGATTACTGTAAAAGGATATTTGTAGGTGAGGTTTTAAAATGTTTCCATTTTGTCATCTATATCAGTACAGGCTACCTGGCAATATTAGTGAGTCAGTCCAGTCCCACTAAGGCTAGAGCCAGATGACCACTATACCAATTGCCATTGTCTTAGGATTCATCCTGGAAGCAGGAATGGTGGTCTTGTTACCCCACATTATGTTGTTTTTTTATTCCTGACCCTTTAACTTTCTAGTATGGCCTGTTATCTTCCAGCTCAGGCTGTTAATAAGGTTTATATGATGGGTTAAATAAGTGTGGATTATATGAAACTCTTAACTGTGTTTAGTGTTAGTAATAATAAAACAGTGAACCAATTTTGGGCTCATGTAAGTAAATTAAACACTGAGGAGAAGCGAGATCTTTTGCTTTTGTTTCACCTTACCTGAATTTGAGACCACCTCTAATATATTTTGCATGAGTTTTAGATAATCAATTTGGTTTTAAAACCCAGAAGAGACATTTGTATGTGTGTATGTGTATTTGCCTTTACAATAACGTAGTATGTCATGCCCATAGTCAGTCAGTCATAGTCACACTGCGTACACATATTCTCTCGTACAGTTGAAAGAATTGCACAGCTGTCACTCAGGTCAGCTCTACCCAAAGTAAGCAAAAACAGCCTTGCTGCTACCTTAGAGAGGCCCAGTTATTTTTCCCATTGCACCCTCCTCCTTCCCTTCTAGAGAGAACCACCGTCCTGACTTTTGTGAAATCCTTTTCTTCAGTTTTATCACCGTGTCGCTCACTAAACTAGTTTAATTGTGTCCATTCTTAGACTTGTTGTGAGTAGATTCCTGCTGATCCTCTTGTGGCCTGTGTGAGCTTTCTTTTAACTGGAGCATTTAGTACAACTACATTTAATGTAATACTGTTTCTTTTTCTTTCTCACCTTTTCAACTGATTGTTTATTATTTCTCCATTAACTTGTTTGCTATTTGGTGGTTACTCAAAACCTAAAGTTAATCCCTTTGTCGCAGAGCACTAACTCCTTTCCCCCTCAACTTCATTGCCACAGAACTGAGAGAAGATGGTTTCCAGCCTCAGACTTACCTAGTACAGGGAGTGAAAGCGCTGCATACTGCTTTAAAATTATGGATGAAAAAAGAAGTAAGTAGTTGTCTTTGGTGAATTAATTGTTAATTTTTACATGGCAAGTTCAGGTAAACAGAGCCCTTATGTTATTTTGGAGTAGTAGAAGGAATGGAAATCATGCTTTAAGTACAACCTGCATTTTATTGGACAGTATATACACATGTGCTGGTTTATGTTTATATTTATGAGAATGAAGTACCTTGGTATTTCTTTTAACCTCAAAAAGAAAGTAAATTTGAGTATATCTAGGATATTGACTAAGAAATGAACATGTAGATATAGAATAATAATATATAACTTTGAGCTCACATAGCGTGCTAACCACTGTGCTTAGTTTTTCTATCCATAAACTCATTTACTCTTCAAAACAACTATATGAGGTTGGGGTACTCTTGGTATCCCCATTTTACATATGGGGAAGCTGAGGTTCAGAGCTTAAGAACTTGCCCAAGACAACTGGTGGAGCTAGGATCAAAGCTCAGTCTCTGTGTTTGCAAAGCCTATGCTGTTATCCCTCTGCTAGTCTTATGTAAGAATGAAGGAAAAGAGAGGTCAAGGTTCAAGCAGGAGATTTCCATTTTTCCCTAAAATGTGGTCTAGTTTGCATTTGAATCCCACCACCTCTAAGAGGTCATCCCAGGTCTCCATTTGGAAGCAGTATGTCCTTTCCTTATGCGTCCGTAGCATATCTCTTGTGCCAGTGGGCTTAAAAGTAATGTCCATAAAGTAATGTGTCCATGTCCTCTTGTCTACGTTTATAAGCTCTTGAAAAACAGGGACTTTCTAATCTTCATTTCCTTCCTGGAACTTTACACACAATGTTTTAATAAATGATAAATAGTTGAGCTGATGAAAATACATTCCCATGCTAATTTCTCAAATGTCCACCAGAAATAAAAATCCCCCTCTTAAAAGATATTGGGAGACAGTAATTAATAGGTTACCCTCCCAATAATTTTATGCTCCCTTTCACGTTATTATCATTGCTGCATATCCATTAAGAGTAAGGGCACTGTGGAAGGAAGCATTCAGGAAAATAAAAATCATGTCTTCCAATGTCAAAGATGTCATCATCTAAATGACAAGTAAAGGCATAAACAGATTACAAAAGTATATAGTATATAAAAAGATAAAAACAAAATAAAGGGTATGTTGCAAAAACCATGTCATTCTTTTCCTTCTGAAGGCTGTAGGCAAGTTGTTCTCAAACTTGTCTGTTTATCAAAATTGCCTTTAGAGTTTTTAAAAAATAAACTCCCTGCTTCTTTCCCGAGAGATTCTGATTTAATTGATCTGGGATAGGATCTGAACCTCTGTTTTTAACAGACTTTGTAGGTGATTTTGATGCACAGTAAAACTCATCAAATAATACATACTGTTAATTCATTGCACTTGAAGTGCACTTTTAAAAGCACGATGTTTGCAGTTAACTGTCCACCTTGCTCTAAGATGAGAGGTAGCTTAGCATAGTGGCTTAGAGCGTGAACTCTGGAGTCAGAGGCTTGGATTCAAGCCTTAGCAATGCTGCTAATAAACCACTAACCTGTGCTTGAGGCCCTCAACTGTAAAGTGAGAGTCCTAATAGTATCTCTGTCAGAGTGTTGTTGAAAGGATTTATGAGTCAACACTCGTAAAGTACTCAACTGTATCTTGATGTCATTAGTTTGTTTTAACAAATTATGCTAAACCAAGGAGAGGATGTAAAGCAGAAGTAACAATTAGTACCTTAAGTGTGCCCAAAAGGTCAAAACTTTCTTAGATATACAGATTAATATTTGGAAATAGACATAATAATGACAGCAGTTTGCAGTTCAGTAGATATGGTAATTAATTCCTCCTTCCTGTGGATGGGATCTTTTCCCTATTTCGCTTTCACTGTGAAAAGAAAAAAACTTGGCGAATTAGATTTCTCATGAGAAACTAGGACTATTTTAGTGCCTGAGTTCCCCCTTACAGATCCTTACGTATTATGAATTAGATTTAGTTAGTTTCTCTACTAATTATAGTAGTAGTTAGAATTACAGTAGGCTTTGAGGTGTAGAGTCCATATAGAACAAAATTTACAGTAAGACAAGTCCATTTTTAACTCAAGGTAAGAGGATTTTATGAGTTAATAAGGATCTCCTTAGAAGATATGAAACCAACCACATGAGCTCTGAGACCTGACTTGTGGGTATTTGACCTTGTCTGTAAAATCTAGAGAACCTGAAAATTGATTTAGTAAATTAGTTTTTACATCTTAAAATGTAAGTAACTTTGGTTGTCTTATCTTTGTTAATCCAAATACAGCTTGTATCTGAACATGCCTTTGAAATTCCAGACAATGTTAGACCTGGACATCTTATTAAAGAACTTTCTAAAGTAATTCGAGCAATAGAGGTAAGAGTAGAAACTATCATCTAAATGCCTGGTTACTCTCTGCTCTGAGAAGCACTTGGATCTACCACCACACTACAAACATTGGAAAGCCCTGACACTCTTAGAAGAAATAGAATGCACTGTGTCTTGGAAGGAGTCTCAGGTTTTCAGGCTCCCAAAGTCCTACGGAGAAATCTGGAGTATTGTATCATAGTGAAGTAATAAGGAAGCAGTTACCGGGTTACTTCAGGTTACTCCAAAAAAAAAAAAAAAAAAAAAATACAGCATAAACAAAACTTTCAGATCTCATTCATTTCTGCAATGCAGAGATGAATACATGTTAAGAAATGAAAGAAAGAGAAAAGGTAAGATGAGTAAGAGCTGGGTGAAACTGAATTGGAAAGAGGGATGACACAAGTAAGGTAGGGCAAGGAGATCCACTTGAGTGAAAATATTACAGCAACTCGTTTAGGTAAATGCCCTTTGATAGAAGCCCATGAAGTCTTAGATTAGGTGTTTTAATTTATTAATTAGAGCTAGTCTAGGTATTAAAGAAAGGGGGTTTTAGTTAAAGGAATTCTTGAGGAAGGTGGTTCTGTTAGTATCCAGCTTGAACTGAAAGGAAATTAAGTGGAGGAATGGCGGCTAATTGACACAGCTCAGATTAGGGCTGTGTTTGGGGGAATGAAAAGAGGTGTACGTCTAAGAAATATTAAAATGTTGGGTTTAATATCCTTGGATAGAGTATTTCATGTAATTCTCAATATGTTCAGATATGGTAGGAAATTATTTTCTGTTTTTGAAGAGCTGCATATAAATGGATTTTTAAAATCAAAAGTCACATATTTAATCTTAAATATATTTGTAAATGGATACATATATAAATATCATATATAATAACAACCAAAACTAAGAATAAACTCAATAAGAAAGGTGTAGGTCTGTATGAAAAAACTATAAATCTTTACTAAGAGAAATAAAACTATAGTTGAATAAATGGGAGTGTCATTTCTGAAATATGTCAATTCCAAATTAGTATCACATATTGAAAATGGTAAAATATACTTGGAAGAATAATTGGACAAAGATAGTCAACAAAGTGTTTTTTTGTTGTTTTGGGGTTTTTGTTTTTTTTAATTGGAGGGTAGGGAGAACAGAAGGAAGCAAAATGGCAGTAGAGAAATGTACAAAGAAAATATAAACGGGTATTTCACCAAAGAAGACATAGAAATGGCCAATCCAATAAAAAGATGAAAAATATTCTCAGTATGCGAAAAAGTATTCAAGTACATTTTGCCACATAATTTATGATTTCAAATGATCATTTATCAGATTGGCAAAGATAAAATTCTTTATTTTTGTGCTGCTGGTTGGAAGTGTAAATAGTTCATGCTTTCTAACCGGCATATCCCTTGACTTAGCATTATTTTAATAAAGTAAATTTTGGAAGCTGGAAAGCAAATGTTCAAGTGGTAACTGACTTAGCAGACCAGAGCGAGCTGAAACCTGTGTGGGCGATGGGAGAAGACCAGAGCAGATCTTATTTGTACAGTAAAACCTTCAAAAAGTTCAGCAATCAGGGAAACTAGGACCCTCTGAATATGAGAGTGGAGGTGGGGTTGAAAGCAGGATTGATTAAAGGTCTATTTAAGAAATAAATTGACCTCCAGATCCCTGCCTTTAACACATGCAAAAAACTAGAGATTTAATTTTTTAGAGGTTGAACTTGAGACTGGACTTTGGCCACTGAACCCAGCTGAGGGAGATGGGTACCGTACTGAAAACAAGAGGATTAAGTGACAATCTACATAGTGAATGATTCTTCTTCCACGTGGCTCCCCAAAACACTGGCAGCCTGGCCTGTACCTCCCAGGCCAAGAAGAAGATCCACTGATGTTGACAATTTGAAACCTTCAGATGGAACAACCCAGATTCCTATAGTGAAACCCATCAGTTGATAAAGCCCCACTCACACGGAGCTCCCAATTAGCTTTTTCCTTTTTACATACAGTGAAACCGCACAGGTCATGAAAGTACAATTCGAGTTTTGACAAAAGTATATACCTGTGTAACCCTTACCCCAGTTGAGCTAAAAAACATCTGCATCACCCCAGAAGGTCATTTCTTGCCCCCCTTCTATTCAGTCCTGGACTATCATAGCTACCACTGTTCTGACCTGTCCTGCTGTATCATAGATTAATTTGGCCTATTTTTGAATTTCAGATAAAGGCAGTCATACAGCATGTAGTGTTTTTGTGTCTGGCTTCTTTAAACATAAGACTTTTGAGATTCATTCACGTTGCACGTGTCAGTAGTTCTTTTTCATTGCTGAGTAGTATTCGGTTAAATGAATATACCACAGTTTGTTTTCCATTCTTCTGTTGATGAATATTTGGGTTATATGCAGATTTGGCCATTATGAATAAAACTGTTATAAGCAACCTGTGTGTCTTGTGGTAGATACATGTTTTCATTTTTCTTGGGCAAATACCTGGGAGTAGAGTTGTTAAGTCATAGGGTAAATGAATTTTTAACTTTATGAGAATCTGCCAAATAGTTTTCCAAAGTGTTTGTACCATTTTACACTCTCACCAGTAACGCATGGGAGTTGTAGTTGTTCCATATCCTTGCCAGTAAGTATTTGGTGTTTTCAGTCTTTTTCATTTTTGCTATTGCAGAGAATATGAAAATTGTTTCATTGTGGTGTTAGTTTACATTTTCCTGAAGACTGATGATGTTGAACACCTTTTTGTGTGCATGGCTGTCTGTATGTCTTCCCTTATGAAGTATCTGTTTGAAGTTTTTGCCCGTTTAAAAAATTCTGTTGTTTTTATTATTGATTTTTAGGAGTTTATTATATATCCTGGACACAAGTTCTTTGTCCTTTGGCATGCATTCGTTCATGTATGTACAGATGATATATATTATATATGAGATATATACATATATATAATAGTAAATATTTACCCACAGCCTATGGCTTACCTTTTCATTGTCTTCATGGTGTCTTTTTTTTTGTTTTTTACTTTTTTTCCCTTGAGATATAGTTCGTATGAAAAATGGTGTCTTTTTATGAGCAGAAATTTTTAATTTTGAAGAAGTCCAATTTATAAAATCTTTTTCTTTTATAAATAGTTAGTACCTTTCTGTGTGTCCTCTCTAAGAAATCTTTGCCCACCCAAGGTCTTGAAGATGCTTTCTTTTTTTTCTAGAAGCTTTTACATTTAGGTAAATGGCCAATCTTGAAATTTTATACATAGCGTAAGGTAAATTAAGGCATTATTTTTCCGCATATTTTTATCTAGTTTTCTTAGCACCATTTCTTGAAACCAGTTAGCTTTTTAATGCTTCCCTTTGAAAATGCATAGAAAGCCAAGAAAATTTTTTAAGACAGAGACCAAAAATAAAGGATAAAAAGGGGGAAAAAAAGCATTCAGAGGAAACAATCAATAAGCAAATAAGTCTCTAGCCCAAAACCCAACCATAACTGATACCCTGAAGAGAGAAAAGAGTAAATAGTACCTCCATGAAAAAAGAACAGGAAGCTTTAACAAAGGAACATTCAAAGAAAAAGGAAAAGGAGCTCTTGGAAATTAGAAATAAAATAGAAACAAAATTTAGTAGAATGGTTGGAAGATAAAGTTGGAAAAATCTCTCCCAAAAGTTAAAAAAAAAAAAAAAAAGAAATAGGACAGAAAAATTAGGTCGTTTTACACAATCACTGTCAAAATAATGTGAGTTCCAGAGAGAGATAACACAGAAAACAAGATTATCAGAAGAATAATCAAAGAAAATGCTTTAGAATTCAAGGACACACCTTCCCAAATTGAGAACTCTACAGAATTCCTGGTACAGTGAGTGAAAAAAGGCCTATTCAAAGGCACATTTGGTCACATTTTAGAATACATGTCATGAAGTATATCCTAAAAAGCATCAAAGAAGGAAGTATGGGTCATATACAAAGAACTGGGAATGAGAATAATATCAGATTTCTCAACAGTAACATTACAGACTAGAAGGCAATAAAGCAGACTCTTTAACACTCTGGGATAGGAGGGATGCCAACCTACAGGTCTGCGTTCAGCCAAGCTATAAGTCAAATATGATGGTAAAGATGTCAGAGAGGCAAGGCCTCAAACAGTTTACCTCCATGTTCCCTTTCTCAGGAGACTCTTAGAGGATGTTCTGGGAGAGAGTAAACCGAAAAAGGAGGAGCCCTGGAATTCATTCTTCCAGCAAATACTGAGTACCTACTATATGTGCTGTGTCCCATCAGGAATCAAAGGCCCTGCCTGCATGGAGCTTAGTAGGAAGAGGCTGGCCGTAAATATTTTAATAACTCAGGAGTAAAGGAGTGCTCTGAAGAAAATAGAGGAGGGGAAAAGGGTAGGGAGTGACAGCCAGAGATAGGGGGGGTGGGGATGGCAGCTTTATGTGGTAGAATGGGAGCAGGTCGGGAATGGCCTTTGGTATCATGTGCAGGCCCAGAGTGCAGCTAGTCCAGGATGGAGCAGGAGAATGAAAGGCTCCATATCAGTTGTTGATCTGAAATTCACATTTAACTGGGCATCTTGTACTTTATCAGGCCTTCCTGTCTAGGAGGTCTGTCTCCAAAGAAAAATATAAAGATTGATAAATTACTTAATGTGTTTGAATGTTTGCATTCTTCTAGTGGGAATTTGGGGATCAATTAGCGATAAATACATAGGAAGCAAAACAGATGGAGATGAGGCAATTATAAACTCAAGGGAAAGTCAAAGGATGTAAAAGTAAGTAAAGGTAATAATAGTATGTTACATGGCACTGGCTTGTAAATAATTTTCATTGAGTCCAATTTAAATACTGAATACTGAAGGAAGAGAAAGTGTGTGTGCCTTTAGGAGAGGTGTGCAAAGATTAAGATTTTATCTTACATAGTAGGGATTCAATAATGTCTGAAGCTGAAAAACCAAGAAATAACAGTTTAAACATGTTCTTTAGACATTTGGAGGCAAATAACTGAAACAACAACAACAAAAAAAACAGCTACAAGAGTTGGAAGTGCTGGGTATATACCCCAAAGAATTGAAAGCAGGGTGCACACACATGTTCATAGCAGCATTATTCACAGCATCGAAAACGTGGAAGCAACCCGGACATCCATCACAGATGAATGGATGAACAAAATGTGTTATATACATACAGTGGAATATTATTCAGCATTAAAAAAGAAGGAAATTCTGACACATGCTACAACATGGATGAACCTTGAAGTTACTGTGTTAAGTGAAATAAGCCAGTCACAAAGGGAGAAATATTGTGTGATCCCATTTACATGTAGTTCCTAGAGTAGTCAGATTCATAGAGAAAGTAGAATGGTAGTTGCCTGGGGCTGGGGCTAAGGAGGAGCGGAGTTATTATTATTATTTTTCTTTTTTGCGGTACGCGGGCCTCTCACTGTTGTGGCCTCTCCCGCTGCGGAGCACAGGCTCAGCGGCCATGGCTCACGGGCCCAGCTGCTCCGCGGCATGTGGGATCTTCCCAAACCGGGGCACGAACCCGTGTCCCCTGCATCGGCAGGCAGACTCTCAACCACTGCGCCACCAGGGAAGCCCGGGAGCTATTATTTAAGCGTTTGAGAGGATTAAAAAGTTCTGGAGATGGATAGTGGTGATGGTTAGACAACAATGTGAAATGCACCTAATGCCACTGAACTGTGGCATTTTACACTTTAAAATGGTAAATTACGTATACGTTACGTATAAATTACATATACATATATTATGTGGTACAAAATTCTGTGTATGTTACTACAGTGCTTAAAAACTTGCAAGTTGTTACCTCTGGAGAAAGCGAATCAGATGGGGACGAGTAGACTGCGCTTTTCATGATATGCTTATAGAGTTTTAATTTTTAAAGTTACATAGAGATGTGTGACTTTGGTCTAAAAAGCATTTATTGATTTATGCAATTATGTATGTGAAAGAATTTCATCCTAGGGAAGAACTGGAAGCAGCCTAAATAATTGCCATAAAACATTAGGTCAACAAATGATGCCATTATCTCTACAGTAGAATATGGCACAGCCTCTAAAATGATATTGAAAATCAAGGAAATATGTTCACAGTATATTACGTGGGGGAGAGAAGGGGAAAAGGTCTCAGCAAAGCCGTTCAAGCTTTATAATTCGGTGTTTTTTGTTTATGTGATTAAACTGAATGTTTTTTGTTTTCTAAAATATGTTTATGGCTGATTAGTCAGTATGTTTGTGGCCTTGTCATAAAAATACCCTGAATTTCATTCTTAAAGGAGGAAAACGGCAAACCAGTTAAATCTCAGGGAATTCCTACTGTATGTCCAGTTTCACGATCCTCAAATGAAGCAGCTTCCCCATACCATTCCCGACGAAGGATGCGGAAACTTCGAGATCATAATGTCCGAACTCCTTCTAACCTAGACATCCTGGAGCTCCACACGAGGGAGGTGCTCAGAAGACTGGAGATGTGTCCCTGGGAAGAGGCAAGCTTCCGTTCCATGGTCACACGGGAGACTTGGTCGTTTCTGAAAGGCCTTCAGAAAGACTATAGAAAGAGAACAGGCCAGCCGTTCTTGTTGTCTGATCTTTGCTTAGTGCTGTAGGGGTCAGCAGCGCTTCTGCTCGTGACAGGGACATGCTTCATTGTAGAAGTAGGACGAACAGATCTCATCTGTTTGCCGACATGTTTACTGAGTGCTTACCAAGTGCCGCGTGCTCTTCTAGGCTCTGGAGAAGATACCAGAGTGAGCATAACTTAAGTCCCTGCCCTGGTGTAGCTTCCATCCTAGCTCAAGTTGGAAGGATTGAAGTCAGAGACAGATATTAATATAATTTCAGATAACAAATGTTATGAAGAAAGAGAGCAGTAGAGCCAGAGAATAAAAGGGCTCAGGTGGCTGGCTGCTTTAGCTAAGGTGGTCAGAGAGCCTCTCAGGTGGGTGCATTTGAATGCCACTTACATAGCAGAAGAAGTCAGGTGGATACACAGATTGGAGGAAGAGTATTGCAGGCAGAGGGAAGAGCAAGTGCAGAGGGCCTTTTCCTGGCCCAGCAGCAGCAGCATGGATAACTGTCAGGCTGGGAGTCTGTTAAACCCATGACTGCAGTTTGAGAAGTGATGGCCTAATGGACAAAGGGGAGAAGCAGTGGGGCAGTCATGAGCTCGATGTAGGGCCTTTGTAAAACACGCTAATGACGTGTGGTGAGGTCCATATCATCCATGATTTTACATCTTAAGTAGAGGATAATTTAAAATGAATAAGATAGCAGTATCTCTTAATTAACATATTTAAAGAAGCTATATAGAAATGAAAACTTCCTTAAATATTTGAAATTTTATATAATTATATTTATACTGTTTTAAGCTTTTGTTGTTCTAAACCGCCTTAAATCCATAGCCATCTAGGAGAAGATTTAGCTTATTATAAAAGGTTCTATTTATTCTTAAAGAAAAATACTGCCACGAAAAGGAAATATTCTTTATGTATTGAAAACCAGCTACTGTTGTGCCTTTATGTCATCCGGTGGCCTTTGTTCCCGGTGATAGCAGGGTGATGACATGTAAATTGCTGGGAGTGCCTGGTGGGAAGACTAGAGATTAGGTCAAAGATAGGGTGACTGGAAAGGACCCAGCAGCTGGCACTTCTGCAGGGAGAAGCCAGACAAAGAGAATTCAGACGGGTGAAGGCAGGACTTCTCCAGCTCTTCAGTTTTTCAGCTCTCTGCAGAGTGAAATGTCTGAATTCACTTGATAGGGATTTCATATTCTGCGTTATAGAATGCGTTTTATAGTTAACTGGCCCTACAGAAGGGTGAACCAGGTTCATGCTTTGGTTTTAGGAACCATTTAGTTTTCGTGCCACACCACTGCGAACGCCCTAGCCTCGGAGGCCGCCCAGCACTCTTCAGCATGCAGGGCTTGGGGAGGGGGGGTGGGGGAGGTGGTGGGTGGTATACAGTTCTTTACTTGTCAAGCTGGTATATTTGAGGGCGGAGGTTAAGTAAGTTCTGTTTTTATACTTTAAGGACATTTTGAGCTCTAAACTGAATGGAAAATTCAACAAACATCTCCAGCCATCTTCCACGGTACCTGAATGGAGAGCGAAAGATAATGATCTCCGGTTACTGCTGACAAATGGAAGGATAATTAAGTATGTGAAGTAGATCAGAGTATCCAACAGATTAGTTTTCAGTGGATTCCCTCTGTTCATTTAATCCCTGGTCCAGACCGTTACACAGCTGCCTGAAATATGGGGAAAGTGTCTTAGTTCTCTATTTTCTCTGTAAATTAAGGAGGGTTTAATACCGTTTGGCTACATGGTTGCACTGACTCGATTGTTTTTCCCACTGTATACAGGGATGAGAGACAACCCTTTACAGATCAGAGTCTCTATACAGCAGACAGTGAAAATGAAGAGGATAAGAGAAGGACAAAAAAGGCAAAAGTGAAGATGGAAGAGAGCTCAGGAATAGAGGGGGTGGAGAATGAAGCGTCTCAGAAACCACTTAACAGTATGTTTGTTTTAGTGGTCATTTTAAAGGTCTGCTCGTTACCAATGTGCTAATAATATGTAAAGTAACTTGCTAATTTTAAAGTGCTTAAATCAGTAGTAGGATTACAATTTCTGTGTCCCTGATACTCTTTTGAGAAGTCTGGAGCATTTCTGAGCCGTCTCCCCATCAGGGAACTGCCAGGTGTGACCACCAAGTGAGGGGTGGCGTCCAGGGAAGGTGATATTAGTGACGAGGATGTCGCCGGCCAGTGACACCCTCATCTAGTAACAGTTTTTACAAGAGTCACACGAAGCTCATGCATCTTACGGGCCTCTACTCCAAATAATAAAATAATAAAGTTGCAAGTTTAATCCTATTTCTGAGATAATTTTAGCTAAGATACAAATGGTTTTCAGAATTAGGAGACATATATAACTGGCTGATCTGAAACTATTAGCAGTCCATGTATTGTTTTGTTTGATTGCCTGTTGACAAGAAGGCCTCTACTTGGTTATTAATTGGTTATCATCAGTGTGATGAATAGTAACACCTCCTCCTCCTCGAGATCTTTCTTCTTTGAATGAAGTCTTCATTTTCTCAACATTTTTCAGGGCCTCCATATACCCTTCTATCTTAAAAAGGAGTTAAATATTTTAGTACTTGATAAGTAAATGTTCCAGGTGATTAACATTATTTAATCCATGTTGGATACCTCAGTCCTCCTAATTCTGGGTAAGTTTGGTATTGCTGTAGTTGCTGACTCTGCCTTTGTTCTCGTGATGGGGGGGAGAGGCAGCTAATCAATGGAATTCATCCAACAGTTGTTGAGGAGTGCTACCGGCAAGAGAGAGGCAGGGCTGGAGCCTGGTTCAAGCTTGTTGGATTCACTGTCTACTTGAACGTGTCTTAGGCTTAGGAGAGTTTATTTTGTTTTGTTTTCTGTTGAGAGAAATAATGCACAACGGAAAGTGAAAAGCATCTTGCAAGCTAATTTTAGTGTTAGAGGTTTTTTTCTGGAAAGAAATATAAAACAGTCAACCCACCCATATAAGGATTATATCACCATATTCAACAAATACCCCAGATGTTTTAAGAATACACGTTAATCTGTATCTTGGTCAGTTAGGGAGATAGTCCATGGGGGAGGAATGGAATGAAGACAATGAGAGCAGTGAGAAAAGGACAGAGCAGGAGCCGGTGAGGCATCTCACAAAGCTGGACGGGCTTTGGGTGGCACTTTATTCAAATTCTAATGACTCTGTTTTTCTCTCATCATTTTCCTCCTCAGGGCTTTTAACAAGTGTGAAATCAGAACTCAGGAATCGATCATCAGAATATTCTGATATCTCTGATTCAGAAGACTCTGGACCTGATTGCACCGCACTGGTACGCCTGGAACCCTTAACTTAAAGTTATGTGACAAAAAGATGAACACCCACTTTCCTTTACCTAGGAGGAAAGTGAATGACAGCTTTCCCAAAGCCTGTCTCTCTGACCTTTGTGGCACAGGGCCTTCTCTGCAGTGGTAATTATACACACACGTCCCATCATGTGACTATTTACATCTGATCGACATAGCTTTTGTCTGATTTTGGAAAGGGTGGAGGGAGGTACTGTTCTCATGTTTCTCGTATTTCTCTCATAGGTTATATTTCATTTTGCCTTAAAGAAAACCTGTACTATGTGGTTTTTTTTAACTAAGGAATTATGTTACTGTAGTTATTAGACATTTTCACTTTTTCATATGAAATACAGAAATAATTCCATGATAATTAAAATTCTCACTTTCCCTAGATGGATAAAGTGTCTCTGGTTAGTTCGTACAGACCTGTTCAGATTTCTTATATAGATTTGCCTCCATTTAATTATCTCAGAAAAGTAATTTTACCACTGAAGAGTCTGAAAGTTCAGGTGATGAAAAGAAACAAGAAATTACATCAAACTTTAAGGAAGAATCTAATTTGATGAGGAGCTTCCTTCAAAAGAGCCAGAAGCCGTCTAGGAGCGAAATTCCAGTTAAAAGGTGGGCATGCTGATGATGGTAGTCTTATTATATTGTGATATAAATGATAGGAAAATGTTTGTTGCTTTGTTTTGTTTGGGGTTTTTGTTTTGTTTTAAATTTTACCAAAAATTTTATGAGAATTAAAAAGGTTCTCTTTTGCTGATCCGCCCTTTAGGGAGTGTCCTACCTCGACGAGCACAGAGGAAGAAGCTATTCAGGGCATGCTGTCTATGGCAGCGTTGCACTATTCCACGTGTTTACAAAGGCAGATACAAAGCACAGACTGCGGTGGTGAAAGACACTCTCTCCAGGATCCCAGCAGCTGTCGCAGCAGTAACCATGAGGTTAGGCAGCTGTATCGCTGTGATAAGCCAGTGGAAAGTGGTAAGAAACATAAACTGTAAGTCTCTGAAAAATAACATATAAGCCCCACCTTAACAGCCCTGTCATCCTAGTTGAGGTTAGAGATTATGAATAAGAACTGTTTATTGCACATCTTTAGTTGGAAATGGTGTTAAGCCTGTTGGCAAAAGAATACATAATGTTGACAAATGTAAGATGCAAGTATAAGAACTCAAAATGTAAATTAATGGATTAAGAGTTGTGTTCACTGGCTGTCACAAGACAGTATTGTTTCCCTTTTATAAGTCGGGTCAGAGTGGAGGGAATGTTTTGGTGTCTTAATTGACGTGCTAAGTTTGAACAATCAACTCTTTTTCCTTTTGTGGAAGCAAGCTTTGAACTGTTACTGCTTGAGGACGTTCTCTCCTACTTGAAAAGGAAGCATTAGGAAAGAGACAAGACTCGGTGGCATTATCAGTGATGCCACACAGTGTTTTCTTCTGTCTGCCTTTGGTGAAAAATTTTATTTCCCTAAAAATCTGAGGAGGATTGGGGAGAAGATGGTACCACATTAAAACTGAAGTCTGTTGCAGACATTGTGTTCATTCCCACCTAACTGTGTTAACTAAGTACCAGGAGCTTGACATTGATTTCACTTAATTCTCGAAACAGCATTTTGGGTGTATGTAATGTAGCTTTAACAGGTAAAGGAAAAAAGACTTAGTGGAATTCACTTGCCCATACTTACATAGCTGTTCAGAGGTTGGAATTTGAACCCAGGACTAGACGGTTTGATCTCAAAATCTTTGCTTATTGTATAAGAGGAAACTGAGGTTTAAAGAGGTTAAGTAACTTGCCTTAAGATGCATTGATAATGGAAGAACTTAAATTCAAATCTGGGTTTGTCTGTCTTTCCACTATACCATTCTGTCTCCCTGTAATCTCTTTGTCCCTTGAAAAGAAAGCTTCTACGGAAATGCTGCCAAATTCAGGCAAACGTGTGCCTTTATTCTATATGGGAAAATATATTACTTTTAGAGAAAGTATTATTGCACTTGGTTTTACATCTACAGCAGATGGCCATAGAATTTGATCTAGGTCCTCCAGCATCTGGCACAAAATCCTGCCATAGAAAGACAGTCATTGGGAGAATTGAAAGAATTAACATGTTAGATTGAGAGCCGGTGACTGTTTTGTTTTTGAGAGGGAAAAGAGTGTGGTGAAAGTATAGGAATAAAGAGTTAGTATATTCATTTGAAAATAAAATGTCGATATAAACTTACTTTCAATTTTAAGTAGCAGGCTAACTTTGTTCTTTATGATCCAGTTTGTGCGAAGATCATTTAATGAAAGCTTCTCTTTAGGGTATCATGTCAAGACTGAAGATCAAGACTTGAGGAGTTCTTCCTGGATTAAACAATTTGATACAACTTCCAGATTTAATCGTCAGGTATATTCAAGGTTTGAAGCGTTCAAATAGATTGTCATTGGCTCCGTTTTGGCTTTCTTTTTTTAAGCTGCAACCAGTAATCAACCACTAGACCTGGAGAGCTTAAAAATGACCATTAAACGCACATTTGAACAGCTCTCCAGTTTTAGGGATTCTGATATAATGACTGATGAAAGGCTTATGGATAGACTGTGATCTGGAAAAGAACAGTTTATTTAAGAAAACAGTTAAAAACTCCTGGCTGCCAACACCTTTAGGTTATGTCTGGCTAGAATGAAACATGAAAGGAAAAAAAAAGTACCACAAGGATCCTTTTAGTTTCTGACGTTGTTTGTCAGATTTTTTTTTTTAATGTTATTTTATTTATTTTTGGCTGTGTCGGGTCTTAGTTGCGGCGCACGGGATCTTTGTTGAGGCGCGCAGCTTCTCTGTATTTGTGGCGTGTGGGTTTTCTCTCTCTAGTTGTGGCGCGCAGACTCCAGGGCGCGTGGGCTCTGTAGTTGTGGCACACAGGCTTAGTTACCCCGTGGCCTGTGGGATCTTAGTGCCCTGACCAGGGATCGAACCCACGTCCCCTGCATTGTAAGGCGGGCTGTTTACCACTGGACCACCAGGGAAGTCCCTGTCAGATATTTTTAGATACTAAATTTCTTTGAGAATTTGATGACAGTTACGGATTCTCTTTCCAGAAAAATGTCCATCATAAATATGACTTGTGCTTACATTTTCTCATGGTCTGTGCCCACCCTCACCCCAGACCATTCGTTGACTCCAGATTAAGAGTCCCTGCTCTAAGAGAAGGCACTTGATGTTTTAGGATCCTGGTGTATGAATGCTTATACCAAACAAAACGAACCCAAAATACCTTTTAAAAAAAGCAAAACTTTACCAGTAGCACCATACAAGGAAAGCAGTATGACCTTTTGCTGCAGACCTTGGAAAATGACAGCCGAAGAAAGAATCAAAATTCTCATGTGGCAGAGTGGAGTCCTCAAGCCTCCCCAACCCCAAGCATTCTCTGAGTAGCAGAAATATGGGTAGTTTTTATGTTCTTCGTTTGGCTCATCTGTATTTTCTAAATACTTAGCAATTACAGTGTTAGTAGGAAAAAGAACCGAGTTACTCTTTCAAGGCAAGTACATACAAGTTCTCTTCCTGGAAGGATATGCTCCAGGGTCAAAGGTCAGCTAAGAAATCCCTGAACTATTAAGAATTCACTTATTCAGTGTATGAGTTTATAGTGCCTCACTGGTTATAAAACTTATAACTCATTAGCATTACAGGATTTAGCATTAAGAGTAAGCTGTTATGTAAACCTAATGGCTGTTTTTATAATTGTCTGGAAATAAAGAAGCAGGGGACAGATGATTAGCAAGGTCACCTTAGAGGAGATTGAATTTCTATTGACTGTAATCCAGCGAGGTATTAGAACGGTATGTCAAATTGAACAGCTGTTTCTTCATGCTCAGCAGTATTTGTGAGACTGTTTTAAAGCAAGTCTGTGTTGAATGCTGTTTTTAAAACTTACTTGACTGTTACAGAATCAGAAATTCACTTTAATACACACACACACACACACACACACACACACACACACACTTAAAACTAGCTTTGTGAGACATCACATCTGCAGCATGCTCTTTTCGAGTTTATCTTTCCTTCTCTTTTTAATTCTGGTCGGGACCCTCTCTGTTTTGACTTCAAGACCCACCAGTCATCTGTCTGTCTATCTATCTATCTATCTATCTGTCTGTCTGTCTATCTATCTACGTTTTCTTCTCGACTTAAATTATGAGGCATCTTCAAGACTTGAATCCTTCAGCACTTCTAGGTTTTGGAATGAGATGGCCCTCAGGAGGGGTGGTTTTCTGAGGCTACTGCATGTTAAGAAAACCCAAGTTCAGTAATCTATTTCTTCTCTCCCTTGAATTGTTAGTGCATAGAGAGGTTAAATACCGTACTCATCTTAAAGGAACCCTAAAAATTCGACCTTATTTCCTTCCTTCTTTTTTAGGATCTAAGTAGAGGCCAGAAATGCATCAGAAAGGAAGTTTCATCAGAAATCAGTCAGAAGGTACAAAGTAGGAATTTTGTGGACAGCAGTGGCTCAAGCCCTCAGAATGGAAAGTATATGCAGAGTTCAAGCTTGATGTCAGGGGCATGCCAGATGAGTAATGGCAGTGTAAGCCCAGAAAGGCCTGTTGGTGAAACTTCCTTTTCAGTGCCCCTTCACCCCACCAAGAGACCTGCATCAAATCCGCCACCTATCAGCAACCAGGCAACAAAAGGTAACTGCTGCACGCGTGCGGGTTAAGTCCATTTCTGACTGTGTATGTTGGTGACAGTAGCAGTTTAGATAGACATCGTCTGTACCCTCACGTTGCTCACAGCCTGCTGCGTCACAGACAGCACAGCGATAGCAGCAGCGTGCACAGGTTCCTATGGGGACAGAGAAGCAGGATACCTCAGTCAACCCCGAGGAGCAGGAGGGGCTTCCTGGAGGGGGAGGTAGATCCTGGAGAGGCTGACAGTGGGTTAGCCATGCTGAGGTGGGGGAAGGGACAGGGTAGACAGCACCGAAGGCAGAGGAGACAGTGTGACCCACAGGACAACGGGGAGAAACAGCACGGGGTTATGTATGAAACTGCCCTCAGTTTCACTGCTGAAGCACAGTTTGAGGCAGGATCGGGTAAGAGCTCGTGCTGAAGAGATAGGCAGGGATCAGAGCGTGGGAGCGTCTCCTAAGTCCTAGTGAAGGAGGTTGGCCCTTCCCTCTCACATGATGAGGTGGAAGAGTTTTAAGCAGTGGAATTCCAGAAGTGTGACCCTGCTCATTCAAAACACCGAAAAGCCTTTGCCTACCATGTCGCCCTCGTTTAAATCTTCCCGGTGCCATCACCTATGATTTTCATTGTTATTTACGCTGTTGTTGGTGTCCTGTATGTTATAGGTAAACGTCCAAAAAAAGGAATGGCAACAGCCAAACAACGTCTTGGGAAGATCCTTAAATTGAACAGAAATGGCCACGCACGTTTCTTTGTGTGACGGAGCTGCGGTTGTGGTCACTCTTCCTTTCGGAGACCGGTCTCGGGGTACGGGAGCCTGGAGCTTCCGCGCGCCCCCGCTGAAGCAGTTTGCATGTACCGTAGGGAACACTGCCTGAAGAACAAAATGAACCTGATGCTGCATTTTCACTGTGCCACACCCACTCAGCAATAACCATTTTGGACCTGGTGGGGAGAGGAAGAAGGAGGGTAGAACCTTAAAAAGAGACCTTGAACTGGAAAGGGTCTCTTGTCAGGGCTTGAATTCCATTTTGTTGTTGGTAGTGTTTTGATTTGTTTTCTGTGGTAGGGTAAAGAATTATCAATAATTTATTTAACAGATTTTTTTTTAAAGTTAACAGCTTTTAAATTCTTTCTTTTTTAAAGCTATTTATTTGGAAGATTTCTGGAGAAATATCTCACTAATTTAGATTTAAGAATGTGAAGGTTTTTAAATTATTTTTGATAGTGTGTGTGTTACATGTGGGGAAGAGCCACGGTAACAGTAACTAGTCTGGACTCTTAAATTTGCTATTCAGGTTAAAGTCTTAAACAGGGATTTGATGCATTAATTATTTTAAATTAAGATGTATATGAAAATCATTTTATTTTATATAATTCATGTGTTTTTTATAAGCTATTAGCTTCGCTTTTGCTAACATCCAAGGTGCATACTGTTATCCAGGTCGATTACCTATATCCCACCTTCCCTCTGCACTCCCCATCATTTCATAACGACACAAGACTCTTCTCTTTGCAGGGAAATACTTTCATAGCCAATGTGTAAGAACTACATAGAAGACCCCACGTGTCTCATTTCATTTGACATTGCAGTTTTCTTCTAAATAGAACAATAGGCTTCTTGCATTTTCATTTTTTGCTGATGATATCTGGGTCCCAAAGAGTACAGCTTTAATATCTTTTCCCTACTCGTGGGAAAAGTATTATAAGTTTGGTTAAATTGTCATGTTTGTAGTTTTTCAAATACATTTGTAACTACAGAGGGCCTTCTTCATACTACTGGTATTGGAGGGCAGGACCAACACCTGCCACAGAGGTTATATTTTATGACGCTTTTATTCTGTATACCTAATTTGTTGGAAAATATGAAATATGGTTTGACTTAGAATATTCAAATCTGCATAATAAGCCGTAATATAATAAGACTATACTATATTAAGTTGTATAGAAGCAAGCATGTTGGAGTAGATGATTTGGGTGTGTGTGTGTGTGTGTGTGTGTGTGTGTGTGTGTGTGTGTGTGTTTAGTTTTTTATTTCTTAACCTTCTAAAGAATTATTTAAGATACGGATTTGGAGTAAAATGGGTGCTTTTTGCAGTTTCTTCCGTCTATCCTAACTTAACCAGTGCATAGGGAGGTTAAGTATCTGGTTGAGCTTTAAGGAATCATTTCTCTCCTTTGTGCACAACTTTTACTAAGTGCCAGTTTTCAGTTGCTTGCAATAGCTTATATTTTCCTTTTCTGTCCCCCGTGACATAAAAACAAGTGATTTCTGCGGGGGGGCTGGGGTGGGGTGGGGCGGTGGAGATATTCCCAGTTCTGACAATAGAGCATTTTACAAGTTCCTACAAAGAAAATATAGGCAAATTGGATAAAATTTATTTTTATGGAGAAGAAATACGGCCATATTATGGGTTTGTCTTTTTTTTTTTTTTACTCAGCAAGGTAGCAGGACTTTCCCTTCTGTATTAAAGAGCTAAGAAAAAAAAAAAGTCTATACCATTATCTTTCATGGTCACATTCAAATGTGTATTTTCAAAGAGAAATATTTCTTACTCTGCCTCCGTTCCAATATTTCATGGAATATATATGAAATATCTTAAAAATGAGCCTTTCTGGTTCAAGTGACTGGACCACTGTCTGGGTCTTATCTGGGTGTCAGGGAGAAGAATTTTTATGGGAGTACTAAATGTCTATAATAGGCCTACTTAAACTCTGTACGCTATGCCAAAACTAGGTAGAGATAGGTACAGTCAGTCATTTGTTGGTCATCAGAGCTCAAGACGTCAAAAATGTGGGTCTGCCTGTTTCTCCCACCTTCCCCACACAATATATTACTGTGATGTTTTGGTTTTCTGTAGACACCATTTTAGTGTTAAAATACACATGTTTTGGTGTCAGTTTAAGCATTGAGAATTATAATTTCTTTTTCCAGCTACATTATGATTTGGGTTCTTTTGTTGCCTTTACATTTTTCACAGCGCTAAGTATTTTTGATTACCTTTTTTTTTCTTAGCTATAAAAATGAAAATAAATAATTTATTTTTATGAATTAAAATTGTAGCCAGTATCTGCCCTGTGTACTTAGGCTGGTAAATACTAATTTTAAGTAGCCAGTATGATGAACTTTTAAGTGAAGGAACTGTGGATTCATTTTTGGCAGTGTTAGCCCATTAACTGGCTAAGTTCAAAAAACTTTCAGTAACATGAAATAACCACTAAAACAGAATACATGTAATCTTTTTGTGTATTGGTAAAAATCCAGCCACTGATCCAGTGACTTCCTTGTCAAACCTCTTGTAAAATCACTGGCTGTGATGCATCCCTTTATCTTGTGGAAATGACAGAACTTTGAAGTAACAGCATCTGGACTCGACTGCAATAGACACAGCCTTTCCCTCAGTCTCATTTATTATGTGTTGTATAGACCCTGCAACCTAGGAAGACACCAGTGGTGGCATTTAGCTAGTTATAAGCAAATACAAATTCTGTCAAACACTTACGATTTAACATATGCAATTTTAAGTGTAGTAGTAGGTAGTCATTTTCCTGTATTGATTCAAATAAGTGACTTCTGTTAACCTGGGATCCCCTGTACTGTAATTCATAACGTCACATAATATTATGCTCTCCAGTATTGATTAAAGGTGTAAACTGTACAAAGCTGGCAGTTTACAATAGTTCAGTACCTGGAAATACTTTGAACTTCATAAGTATCAGTTCATTTTTAAAGCATACAGAATTGAAAATTCTGACCGAAACCATCTTATAAACTCAGAAAACAAGCCCATCTTGGTCACTACTTAGCACTGAATACTGCTTTATTTTTTTTGCTCTATTTTTTAATAATCCTAGTTATTGCCTTTTTAATGAACTCTACTGTATTTATTCATATGAGATCAGCAGGTATTTATCAGACATCTACTATGTGCCCAGCACTACTTAGTACTGTGGGGGGCATATAAAGTTGAAGCTGTATTGTTTGCTCTTGAAGGTATCTTCTCCAGGAAATAAGCAGTATTATTTTCACTTCTAAGCAAACTTAAGCAAGAGGGCCCATTCATAAAACAAAACTTTATTAGTTTTAACAGAGATACACTATACAACTGTAGAGGTAGAAGTAAAAAAAAGTTGTTTTATATTTTCAAAATTTGAAAAACATTTCAAAAGTTAATAATTAAATGTTCGTAATCATAGGGGCATGTTATAGCATGAAAGGGAGCAGAAGACCTCGGTGTTTGTCCAAGTTCTGCCCTTTATGTTTCAGCTGTGTGTCCTTGAAGAAGTCATTTATTCTTTCTGAGTCTTAGTTTTCGCATTTGTAAATTTGGATCAAAATGCAGTTAAGAAAAACACAGAAAAGCATTCCTTAATCTATTAACACTTCATATTTGCAGAGGATTTATCATTATTTAAGTTACAGCTGACAGCAAATGCACATTTATATGCTTTTTTTTTTTTTTTTTTTTTTTTAGCGGTACGCGGGCCTCTAACTCTTGTGGCCTCTCCCGTTGCGGAGCACAGGCTCCGGACGCTCAGGCTCAGCGGCCATGGCTCACGGGCCCAGCCGCTCCGCGGCATGTGGGAATCTTCCCAAACCGGGGCGCGAACCCGTGTCCCCTGCATCGGCAGGCGGACTCTCAACCACTGCGCCACCAGGGAAGCCCTATATGCATTTTTAAATGAAAACTGCTGTTACTCATAAAATTTGCTTCATATCAAATATATGCCCAGAGCTTGCTACCTAAAAAATCTGAAGCATCTCTAACAAGATGCTGAATTAAAGTCAGAATCAGTGCATGAAGTGAAAGAAAAAGGAATGAGATACTTTATGGGTAAGCGTGAGAACGTTTATCCTCAAGTAATCATTAAGATGATTTAAAGTAATTAAAAGATAATTTTAGGTTTTTCTCAAAGAGTACTGCTTCATAGATTCTGCATACTCTTCAGGGCACTAGCATAAGGTAAAATAAGTCATGGAATTAAAATGATTTAACAAACCATCCGTGGTACTAGAGCGGGAAAATAAGGTGGTAGATAGATGGGGATCAGCAAAGACAGCCCTGAGTTGGCCAACCATGGCTCGTTGGTTAGAGAGAGAAAGAAACCACTGTAGTGTAGGGAGACTCGGCCGGATTCTGCTTTTTTCAAGAAATGCTCTTTATAGTGATCAGTCAGCCCCCCAAAGAGTTGATGAATAACTGTATGGCCCAGCATACTACTGCCAGAAGTAGCTCTTGCGGTATGTAAGCATTTTATGATTTCATATTAAGAGATGAGGGCTTTATATAAATTTGAAATTTTTTCAAAAGTTCGTTTTTCACGTTAATTATTAAGCTAATTGCTTCCTCCAAAAAGAGAAGTTAAAGATCACCGGTCATTTTCAGATGCCGTAGACCTTCATCTAAAGCAGTTTTGAGAAGGCTGAACATCAGATCTTTAGCTTATTAAGAAGAGAGACAAATGAAACCCAGCGAGGGCAGTGACTCGCCTGGGGTCACAGTGGATCCCAAACCTCTGGTACTTTGCTTCCTACAGCAGCCCCTGTTCTGTGACACTGTGAGGCCTCTGCTCATCCTGTGGCGGGTGATGTTGATACACTTTCTAGAAGCCAGGTGGAAAGAAAGGGGAAGAAGTCACATACTACTCACTACATTGCTGTTGAACGTAATGTAATTTTAATAATGGAGCCTTACTAAAAGCCCTTCCGTTATTTTTGCTTTTTTTTTTTCAGTGAACGTCATGCCGTAAGTCAAATATTTGCTATCCCTTACATAAAAATTTTTTAAGTTAAGGACGTTAAGAAGCAAATGCCTGTTTTCAAAGCAATTAGCTTATTGTGACTGTGGTTTTATTCTGTTATGGTGGGTTTTTTTCCCCTTTAATGGGTATGGGAAAATAATACTCATTAAGCTGCATTCTACCCCTTAGAGTCTCCCTCTCACCCTTCCTGTCCTTCCTAGTGTCCTGAAGCTTTGTCTTAACAAGCGCAACATTAAATTTTCTTTGTTAAAGCCTTTTTGAAACTGTATTCAGTGATTCTTCCTACAAGTTTATCTGCTCTGCACTATTTCACTAATAAACCCTGGCTACCACGTAGCCCCTGACCTCCAAGTAGTTTACCTATGCAAGACCTGTGACATCCTGAATTCACTTTTCTTTATTTCAGAAAGCACCCCTAAATGGAACTTAATCAAAGATAAACCTTGTATCCACCCAGTTTTATTTTGGCCATTTCCTATTCAAAATGTCAGCTATTTTCCCCCAAGATTTTTCACCAAAACAGTGATCATAAGTGCTGGAATATATACTATTTTGCAGGAATAAAATAACCCAGAAATACTCTTATATTTCTTTGGTGGATTTTGGTTGGTAACTGTTACCAGCAGGAGGTGTAATGTATAATGAGGAGTTGATTCCTTGCCTAGAATCATTTCTTCCCTCTAAGATTCATAGGATTCACCTTTTATTTTTACAAAGCATACATGTAACTTCCACGTTATAGTCAGGGACCTGAGGTGTAACTTGCTAAGTGAACCCCAAGGTTATTTTATCTTGCAAAAGAAACCTAAACCAAACTAAGGGCCTTACATTTATGGTTTAGACTGAATCAAAAGCTGTAACCTCAGTTTTTCCGAAAACAGCTTCTGACTGCAAAGCAAGTCATGCAGTTGTTAGGTGTGAAATAGCACTGATCAGGAAATGCACATGCGTCTGGGCAGACTGCATTTCCTTCCGAAAAGACTTTTCTACTTTTAATATAAATTAAGCCATAACAGTTTCATGCTGTGGAAAGAGGGTGAAAAGGTTCATTTTAATGAGATTATATGATACGAACTTTCACATTTACTGTGAAATGTCGAACTTTGCCAGTGCTTCAGCAGGTTGGTTTGATTTTGGGGGGGTGGGGGGAGGGTAAAGGGTGGTGACAGGGAGGGGTAGTATTGGTTTTAGGGGGTTTAAATCTGTGAAATTTGAAAAGGGACAGTTGTTGGCTATGGTATTTACTAGTTTTGTAGTAATGTTTTGCTAGCCTGACTGACTTTCCTGAGCTGATTTTCATGCCCATGGTCCCAGGTGACTGTTAGCCTTTCTCGTTCGGGGTGTCTGCAGAGTAGTGTCTTGTTGTGTGGATAGGCGGTCAGTGTGTGTGCACATGTGTGTCCTTTGAATAGAGAAGCACACTGTGTGACGACAGAGTGAAGTGTGGCTGGGAAGTGGGATGCTGAAGCTTTAAGAGCATTTTTTTTCGATTCATAACAGTATTTCCCATCTTTTGCCTGCAGGCAGGGAAAGTGTACAGTATTTATTTTGTTTCTGTTTTAAATTTGTAAGTTTTTAAGTAGCTTACATTGGTTATTATAGGGGAGGACAAGTGACTTGTTTAAAGTTGTATTTGGTATTCCTACTTTCCAATTTCTGTACTTTAAAATATTGAAATTAAAATTGGTATTAATTCTGTTCTGATTTTTTTTTTAGCACTCGGTGTATTTTTTGCTTATTTTGTTTGAAAGCATAAATGTTGAAAGTTATATAAAATGTGTCTTTGAAAGAAAAAAATCTGAATTCTATATCCAGCTCTGACTTGCCGTTCCCTTTTTCTGCTTATTGAGTCTTGGGAGAATTATTTAAGAATGTGAAAAACTGTGTCAAACTTACGCTCCTTACGAGTTCTGAAGGTTTCAACGTAAAAAGTAATGTGTCTTATTGCTTTATGGGATGCGCTGCTGGGGAAGCAGTTGCTGAAACAGAGGAACACAGAGGGGTGACTGGGGAGAAAAGGCTGCTCTGTGGCCACGGGTGCGGGTGCTTCCCGACGGTCACTTAAGAGCCCTCGTTGTCCCCAGCCTGGGCCCCCCCCCCCCCCCCCCCGCAGACGTTTCCTGAGCACCTGCAGAGTCCCGGGCCCAGCTCTAGTGCCAGAGCTACAGGGTGAAC